GAATGACGATACTAGCTCCGATTTCTGCATGTATATTTATATGATTACTATCAGACACCGATCCGCCCGCCCACCGGCGTCCTTGGGCGTCCGGGGAAACCCGAAGGGGTTTACGGTGGCTGTGACCTGCTCCAATCCTATATAGGCCTAAACAGGCAAGCAGTTGCCAAGTCGCCACACGCATCAGTATCTCTGATTCTCACTCTATCTCACTCACTGCTCCGCAAAACAGCTATGTATCCCTCCAAGACCGAACATTTGCATTTATGGCGATGCGAGACCGGGTTTCAATGATAACATAGATTTCGCTAAAGATCAAACACTCCAAGAGCTTAGGAGCTCATTGGTCTCTGGGTGCTTCTGTATTTTCGTCCGCCAGCCTCTGGACCTATGTCTAAACGGCTAACGATGCGGATAACGTCTGACTCGCACGTCCCCTTAGAGTAAGTGATGTGCCTCATGCTATAAGTAATCCGGAGAATTCTGCGCGTGTGGTGCACTTCTGGTGTTCATGGGATAAAATACACATTAGATGCAAGAGACACCTCTAATAATCCAATGATTTGAGGAAGGTGCTTACATCTCTGAGCATCTCCTCATCCAGGATTTTTGGCGTTGCTCAACCTCCACTATCTTCCCGCACCTTCCAGATCCGGCATATGAGGCGCTGCGATTGAAGCAGACCCTAAAAAAGGATACGAGTGTATGGGCGTCTGCGTGGAACTCAAAGTAGAGTACACGTCTTCAGCATTCTAAGGTGAACACTCCTGGATCACACCTGGCTATCCTAAGATTAGATATCGCCTAGATATCTGTCAATGCCAAGTCAACATGAGCACGCGTTCGTTTACCATCAACCACCGCCTCCGCCCGCCAGCACGATGAGCAGCGCTTCTCCACCCCGCAGCTTCCTCCCTCATGAGATACGTGACCACATAATCGACGTCCTCGCGACATCCTCTCCCGGGTCTCCCGACACCATCACCATCCAAGCCCTACGTGCCTGCTCTCTCGCGTCTCGCACACTGCACACACGCGCCTACCACCACCTCTTCTCCTTCGTCTTCATCGAGCTTGAAGAAGCCAAACTCCCCACCAAGAACATTGCGTTGCTCAATTCCCTCCGTGCCCTCTTGCATGAGAGCGTCAAGTTCCCGGGAGTCGGCCTCGTGTACCACCTGCAGGCGTTCACGCTTGCGGTGCACGGGCATGGGGATCAGTGCTACACGATCTTCAAAAAAGGAAGGGTCGGGGACATACTCATGGCGCTGTACGGGGAGACATACGGTGTTCAGCGGTTCAAGTTGTCGGTGCACGGGGTATACAGGCGGGAGGTCCTATTCTTCGAGCTGGACACATCGAGCCACCATGGGTGGCCTTGTATGCCCTGTGCAGGTCTCCCAACTTACGCTATCTTTCGATTTCTGGGATCATGGACCTGCCCCGGTCGTTGTTCTCGCTATCCAGGCTCGATTACCTATATCTATACAACGTCAGCGTTCGGAGGATGGTCGATCGTCCGTCTGTGGACACTCCGCGCCAGACGGTGCTTTCGGAGGTCAAGAGGATAGCAATGCACTCAGACGTGCCTATTCTGGACCTTGCATATCCACACACCGACCCGAACGCAGAAGAAGAGAGCAGTGAAACCCTCAAAGCACTGCGAGAAACCGCTTTTGCCTCCCTCAAAGAGCTTCGGATCAACTTCTCCTACATGGATCGCGTCCCTGGCGCCCTCGAAGTGGCGGCCCACGCCGCGTCCTCGTTGTCCTCCCTGCATATCTACATCTTCGGGCTTGACCCCGCCGATCCGCCACCCTCTCCCCCACGTGCGACGAACCCGAGGCACCTCTTCCACCCCCTCACAGCGCTGGAAACTCTGAGGATCACCAAGCAGGTCGTGAGGCCACTCACGGAGCGGTGCATCGTCAACCCGCTCTGGCGACTCCTCGTTACGAGCACGCTACCCGCCAATTTACGCACTCTGATTGTTGAATCGATGGCCGAGCGCAGGCTCGTCGCCGTACAGGAGGGTCAACAACCCCAGGAAGAGGATCGCCCGCAAGTGGGCACGCCTCGACGCGGTCCTGTGCGACGCGCCGTTCACGCGTGTACCAAATATTGTGATGCGTATCCAGTACACCGTGCGTGCCGCCGAGAAGGAGGAAGCCAACCGCGCAGCGGCTTGGCGCGCCTTCGACGAGGACGCGTTCCATGTGCGCGCACGTGATCTCGTAGCCGACGCTCTTCCGCGTCTCCGCTCGTCTCGGTCGAAGTCCAGCTCCGCTAACTCTGATTCGCCCAAGACATTCGAGGTCGACATCGCAATCATTCGGGCGCAGCCTGGAACATGGGACAATGAGATCAAGGTGAAATGCGGAGGCCCGGCGCTGGTCGACGCCCTATAGGTTGCGTTTGGGGTCTAGAGCGGCGTCGGCGTCGGTGTGCAACCAAATATAATCATGTTCATGTTCATATCATACTCCATCGCATCGATAAGTAGTAGCTAAATAAATTCTATCGTAAGTCTACTTCAATATATAATACAACGTGTAGCATGCTGGTAGGCTTGTGGAGTGAGAGCGCTTCGTTCCAGAATCCAGATATGCAATACAAGAAAGAAGCCAATGCGTAGAGATAGCAGTTTACTGGGTCAATGTCGTAGATCGTGTATAGTGAGTTAACGAGACGTCGTCAATGGGTAACACTGGACAGAAGGAAAAGATTGGTCCTTCCGAATCGCTGTGTTTTTCGTTTTGGTCCAGGCTTGCGGTCGACGAGCGATGGGCTTGGTCGTCACTTGACATTCTACCAATCTCCGCCCTCGTCCCATCCGCCTTTATCCCGGAACGCGCCCGAGCTTCCGAGCTTGGTCTTTCCCCTGGCCTTGCGGCCCCCAAGCTCCTTGTACATCTCCCGCATCTCGACCTTGCCAGGCTTGGAGGTTGCCTCGGCCTCTGCGCGCCATTGTTCCTCCTTGATCTCGCGGGGTGTTTGGTATCCCGATCCCGACACACCCCTCGAAGGGGTATTGTATCCAGAGTTGGAGCGGGAGAAGGTAGCTGCCGTAGGGGACCGTTCGCGGTCTTTAACTGATTTCAGGTAAACCTGACGCTAGATATATAGATGAGCACTGAGATAACGAAGAAGAAGAGTCCGACGTACCCAGCTCTGCTTGGACTCTCGTTTGGTCCACTTTCCAGGTGGCAAGCTATCATCATGGAAGTTCTCCTTTCTATAATGCTGGAACCAAACTGCAAGATGACATATGAAATGAACATCGTCCTCGACTGACGACAGCGAACAACTCACCGTAGTTTAGTGTCTGGCTCCTAGCCCACTTCTTTGACACCAGCGAACACTTAGCCAGCTCCTTTATCGTCAGCTTCGCAAATATCTTCTGCGAGAGCTCTGTGGGGAACGCCTTCAACGGGTCTCTCCTTCCCGGCGACAATATGAGCGGGCCCTTGATCGGCCTCGCCGACGCCCCCCTCGTCGGAGACGGCGGGCGGGTGCGGGCAGGGGTGCCAGGCAAGGACACCTACCGTCCAAATCATCAAAAAAAATTAGTCCGGCCAGCGATGAAGTGATAAGGAGAAATATGAAGCGGATACATACGACATTGATGATCTCATCGTCGGAGTCGTCCTTGTCCTTGTCCTCGTAGGAAGGGCGTCGCTTGCCGCCGTTGAGGCGTACGTTCCTGAGGCGGCCCTCGAGCTCCTCTGTGTTGGACTTGAGCACGCCCTGCAGGAGGCTCATCGTAGGTGGTGGTAAAAGGGTAACAGTAATTGATCGCGGCCACAGCCAATCTCAACCGTGTCATGACTAATCATGTGACATCATCCGCTTCGGGAGCCAACAGACGCAAGCACCGATAAAGCGCCCGTCCGGGCTGTGATAGCCGAGGCGCTCCGTTATCTGCATATCTGAGGAACGGGCGCTATCGTGGTTATGCAGGATGATTCAGAACGTCTTGGATACTCGGCGCTTAAAAAACAAAATTAGACCTCATAGCAGCCCTCTCGGGCATCTTCCACCTGATGGCTTGCCCAAGAAAAGAGACCTTCGGTCATGTCGATAGAAACCCTTTCCTCTGCTTCCCATAATCGCTCTAAAGCACTAACATCTTTTTAACTCAGCGACAAGAAGTCGCGGGGACCCTAGAGGTTCTTGTGCGTGGGGTTGTGAGAATTTTATTGGGAAAGAAGCGGAGAATCCTACACAGCTTGCGTGGGATCCTTGGAAGTTATAGATTCTGCTGAAATAGATTGTGCACACCCTGACAACTCCTACGTCAGAGTCGGACTGATCCAGCGGGCTGTCCTTTAAGTAGCCTAGACGGGAAGTGGACAGGTATATATCGAGCCCATCATAGGATTCTTTCATGGGGCCTCTGGTCCCGTAAAATCGATAAGGATGGGGCTGTTCTCTTCTACGCAGTTTGGGTATGTTGCAATACAAATGGCTGTGCGCACGAAAGTGTAATCGGATTTATACTAGTGTGGCGCATCCTGAGTCAACTTGAAAATACTTGCTTACGGCTGGCCGCAACGCGAATCCCACCAGACTTAAAAGTCAAAACGTGAGATCCGTTGCAGCAGGCTTCACTGACACGAATTTAAACATCCTGGACGGTCACCCTATTCTCTAACCACTAATCATACTACGACGTATGAATTGATGATAAAAATAGTTCACTAGCCATAGAAGTATAGGAAGGTTTGTAGCATACGACCTATGCCCATTCGAATCAATACTGCATGGCTTGTAGGCGATGCAGTGTGAGGGCGGTGAAATGCAGAGGCAGAGCATTTCTTGATGGAGCGATCTCCAAGATCCAGACTCCGCTCTGTCTCCGACCAAAGTGAGTGGCTATAAGTTGTCTCTGGTTGAGCTCACCCGTTATCTATCCTTGATCGTTACACCAGTACATCATACCTGAGCATCATGGTAGGAAGCTCCTTCCCCTTCCTGTCCTATTAAAACGAACACATTACCTTCGCTAGGGCGTTACAATCGAAACCATCACTCCCGGCGACGGTGTCACCTTCCCTAAGAAAGGCGGTATGTCATCAACGCGCTTAATACTACCCGCGAAACAGCAAGTTGTTGACGGGTGGCTGGTGCAGACAAGGTGGCGATTCACTACGTTGGTACCTTCCTGGACGGCAAGAAATTCGACTCTAGTCGGGATCGGTGAGAGGAGATACTCAGATCGTTATCGTGATCAGAGTGTTGATGTCTCTTCCTTTGTTGCAGTGGGTCGCCGCTGGTGACGAAGATTGGTGTCGGGCAAGTGATTAAGGGATGGGACGAGGGTGCGCTCATTTCTTTCTGCATATTGTTCTCCTAAATGCTCATCTTTTGCGCGATCAGGCGTCCCACAACTATCTCTTGGTCAAAAGGCAATCTTGACCGCCACACCAGACTACGTAAGCCTCTTCGTCTATTTAATGAAACAATATATAAAAGTAAATTCACCGGTCATACAGGCATATGGCGCCAACGGCTACCCTCCCATCATCCCCGGCAACGCCACCCTCAAATTTGAGGTTGAGCTGTTGAAGATCAATTGATCTCGTTACATTCATTCATGCTGTACATTAACCCTGCTTCAATCTGTACGTTAAACGGCCGGTGTATTTCACACTGCATTTCTGTTGAAGAGAATCGAATGCAAAACAGAGATCGTCTTATCTTATACTGATCAGCGTCAGGTTTCATTAATGACGCGACGCGTCGCGCACGTGATGAGAACACGCCGCGTTGGAAATTGAATTTCACAGCCGCCAGCGGCATCCCGCATTCTCGACTCTACAAGGCAAGCACACACATGTTGTGCTGGGGTATAGGGCATTTTTAACCGTTAAAAGCGCATCTTACCCGATGCCTTCCTTTCCCTCACTCTCTGCAAGCTTTTCCTGCGACTTCCACCCCCGACGCCTCCAGGTTGCGGTAGGCGCAATGGATTGAACCAGCCTTGGGCTCTTGCGGGGACTACTCGGCTCCTCTTATGGTCACTAATCGGCTTATGTTGTTATTGGGATGTATCTATGGTGCTTTCTCTCCAGCCAATCGTCGTCGTGTTCCATCCTGGTGCCATCTATTATCCAGTATGTTCTTTCAACAGCTCGAAAGGCTCTGCAGCTCCTCAACATGTGTCGTAATCCCTTCTGCGGAAGACTAGTTTCACACTGGTATTCTCTTCTCGGCGGACAACCCTGCTCACTTTGAGGTGAGTAGCCCTTTGAATTTACCCGATGCACCACTGTCCCCATGGCCAGCACCATGTTTCTCCTCGCTATGCATTCAAACACCGTCCTTGGTCTAATTGCTTTCTGGGCTGCAGGAACACTTCCCGATTCTTCCTCGCACTCTCAATACGTGGACGACCTCGTTTTCGCCCTTCTCTAAGCTTTTCGGAACTGATACCGGATCGGCTATACACTGGCCAATGGCCACTCGTTCGACCGAATTTTCTCGTTGTCCAAACCACATCAGACTACTTTCGTTCTTCTCTTCCCAATCAACGACCGCGGCTCCGACAAAACCCATCGTTGCTCGCTGGTTCTGTGTGCTACTCTTCAACCTCGCACGCTGATTCCGGATGATCACACCGTCGACTTTTTTTTACCGTTCGGCCGTATTTTCAGCACCTTCGGTTATATCAGCACGCCATTCTTATTCCTTCCCCCCCCCCTCTCGGCGATTAAAACGTGGAAGATCCCATCGTCTTTCTATCCTCCGCGCCCGATGTCATTTTCGTTCCCTGACACGAGTTCGAATACGTGTACTGGAAGACCGGTAATTTTGTCCCAGAGTCGATCGAAATGCATCCGTGAGTTCTGGGCCTAAGGCAGCACGTCTCCCCCACTTGCGGATAGCGTTCCGATATGCGCAAGAGACTACTTGGCCTATTCGCCGGAAAATTGCGGTCTTGCGGCGGGGCGAAATTTGGGGTGCTATATCACCTTGGAGGTTCGGTGATCGTCCATAAACTCACCCTGCTTTGCACGAGCTATCTGCCTTTGCCCCCGTCTGTGTAGCCTTCTCAACACCTTGACCGTCGACTTGTCCACTTCAGCGGGTTCTAAGTCCGCCTTCTCTGCTAATTTAAGCTGGGATCTTGCCTCGCCGGGGTGTTTGGCTTTAAAGATGCCACTGTCAGAAAAATTCGGGCTGCTTCGTTCCCTGAAGACACACCCTTGGAATTTTCCATTGACCCTGCTGCAAACAACGGCTGTATTCCTCCTGGCAAAATCCTTTTGTCGATATGGATTCCGTGTTTGATCGGCCTTTGGCGTTTTCTCACCGACCTCGACATACTGAGTGTCCCTAGCTCATGGGTTGAATTATGGGCCCGCGAAACCTTGACTATCGATTACGGCTGCTTGGGAAGTCAACCTTTCCTAACTCGCGATGGCCCTCTCCTTGATTTGCCTTCAAAGTTCACGCGGAATGACAGGAGAACCCTGCAATGACACTAGTCGCCCATTGCTGATAGGCCCGTCGTTGTCTATCTCGTAGCGGTTACGGCCCACAGGCGGTTTGTGTGCACTTAGCGTTTGGACTGCTGCCAGCATTTCATTTATCCTTTTTTTCCAGGATACAAGGTTGGGACCCACTCGCAGGGGTCGTGTATGACATTCATGGGACGTCAGGACCCTCCGAGTTCATTGCCTCGCGGATTCTTTTCTGCACAACGCGAAAGGCTTGTGCATCTCCCGGTTTGCAGTGAGGGTGCGTCCGTCTCGCCGCTGCACGATCAATCAGAAGGTGGAGTGCTATATTGAATTTTCCAAGAGGTGCTAGGAATACTAACGCCGGTTTTGTCTGCCATAAGTGTTGCAGCAATCGATATCGATAACAAGTCGGACGACTTGAATGGGGTTGCATACACTCGACCTCTGGACGAAAAGTATAGATCGAAGCCGACCATGATGCCAGATCCATATCGGATCAAGATCCGCACTCCGCCTGTCTCCGCTCCTATAAGTCTCCGGGCCAAGCTCTCGCCTCAACTGTCCTCGACGACTTTCAGACATTCTATAACTCGCACTATGGTTCGTGTCCATCGCGTCGTTTCACCTTCGTCGTTGCTCATTTCTGCCTAGGGCGTTACAATTGAAACTATCACTCGCGGTGACGGTGTCAACTTCCCTAAGAAAGGTGGTATGTCGCGCTTATGTTCTTTGAGCGCGTTTCACGCCTCATGTGCTTTCATACAGACAAGGTCACGATACACTACGTCGGAACACTACTAGACGGCAAGAAATTCGACTCCAGTCGGGATCGGTACGCAGACACCTCTCTGTGTCTCCTTCAACTCGTTCTGACGATTGTACAGAGGGAGTCCATTTGAAACTGAAATCGGCACAGGGAAGGTGATAAAGGGCTGGGACGAGGGTCAGTCGACGTTCGTCCTTCCCTCCTCGTGTCTCGGTGCTGACTGCCATTCATTTAGGGGTGCTACAACTATCGGTTGGACAGAAAGCAATCATAACCGCTACCCCAGATTTCGTGCGTAATTACGCGTTCTACTTCGGGGAAACTGACTGAAACTTCCATAATCACAGGCATACGGCTCTCGTGGCTTCCCTCCTGTGATACCACCGTTCTCTACGCTCAGGTTCGAGGTTGAGCTAATAAAGATCAATTGATTATGTCGCCTCTTTTTTCTTCTTTGTTCACTATGCGTTGGGCTCGGGCACTTTGCTCGTCTGTTTATCTGTACCATTCCTCTTTCCTGTGCCATACCATTGTACTCCAGATACCACTTTTTGCATTGACCATTCATTCCATTTTCTTATTCCATCACTTCTATGCAATTCATTGATCCCGTGAGCGTCCGGGGTGGACTTGCGACAGGGGAGAACGATTGACGATCAGGAGATTAGATAAACAAGGCGATCGTCTTTGGCAATTCTGTCCCTTCCACGCTCTGTTGAAGCTTAAATTTCTGCACCCCAATCTCACTTTCCGATATCTCGCTTGGCTTCGGTTGCGATTTTGAATGAGCACGAATATCGAGATTCTGATCAAGTGACGCACCTCAGGTCGGACACTCGAAGTCTCCCTCTAAATATACCGCTTTGCTATCTCCAATGAGATACCGGGGTCTGCATTTTCTTTCATGCACGACAGGTGATGCCAATCGTCGATTGTCATGAACCCCCAAAGCACAGAGGGACGTTGTCTGTTTCTCTTTCTTCTCTCGTTCCACTGGACACTCATTGAACACCGAATAACTTCTTCTCTGTAAAATTCTGATGGGATAAGAAATACCCCGACACGCTCTTTAAGGGTCCGTCTTCACTTTCTCCGAAAACAGAGTAATAAAGGGTCCGACCTCTGTCGCCCTTTCGGATCGATCCTATTTGACAGAAGGAAGCACTATGAAGCAGCGTTCGACCAGTGCTAGGCGACCTCGACTGGGATGGATCAAACAGTCATTAAGGTTTGCTTTACGACAAAGTCCAAAACCTACGCGGTGAGTAGCTCAAGACTATAATTAGTTGAAGGGGCACCAAGACGGCGACTGCTACAGCTCCGTTTGGTAACTATTGACGCTCCGGGAAGTTGGCGCTAATGTGAACGGAGACGTCTGAGTCTGTTCCAACTTCCAAGGACTTAAGGTTTTCGGGGCAGTCCAGGTATACGATGTCACCCGAGGAGGTCATAGTAACTTAAAACAGGCAGGCACCCTTCTCCTTTCCAGGAATGACTATTGCGCGGTCAAATCTGAAGCACCTCTTCACACGGCCTCATAGTCTGAGCAATAGAGAGCGATTACCTCAGAGCCCAAAACTTCCTCCGAGAGAAGATCGATTGCCTGATTTACCTAAGTTTCTCGGTCTGCACGCAGTTCGGAGAAGTGCGGGTCGTCCGTCAGCTGTGTGCAAGTTCTGTGGGCTACTGTGCAAGGCCGAAGTGCTCAGAGAAAGTACCACCCCAATTCTCTGTCAATTGGAAGGAAGTCTCTCGGACAAGAGCACCGACAATGTATCTCGGAGCATTCTTCGTCACTGGGCGACGGAACAGCGTAATGAAGTGACATGGAAGTGCAGTGAATTGCTTGGACAGGTCCTGCTTATCTTCTGGGACTTTTAGCTTGTATGTAAACGTCCACAGGTCTTCGCAGCTTGCCTATGAATAGTTTCGACGAGGTTCCGTAACTGCCCATTCAAGGCTGGTCTTAAGATAACGAAACTTAAAGGGTATAGATAGAGTGTTTCGTGTGAATGCCCGTTCTAAATTCCCACAGAAGTTACTATACCGAAACTGAAGTGATCATCAGATAAGATGGGCAGGAAGCCGTAAATCCTCCAGGTGACAGTAGATATGCCAACTTGGTGCTTAACCGCTAGCTTCGGAAAAGTAGGGTGTTGGCCGGGATTTCCCTTGAATTCGTTAGTGGAAATGTCGACGAACCAGCAATTTGTTTCCGTCGGATATTTGCAAGGAAGGTCTTCTAAAAGTCCAGACTTCAAAAGAGCGTGGTGATAAATCGCGTCAGGATGGTGCGTGCAAGCGCCTATTTGACTGATTTCCAGAACGAATGAAAAATCCATCAAATTCCCAAGTAACTCAGCATCCGCCGGGATCAGCCCGACGTGCGCCACACTACCCCGACTCGGGTCACCGCCACAAGCTCATGACATTAAACGACGGCTCACAATGTTGAACCTGATCGACATACACGAGCCTATCTGATTGCGGGAGAGAGGAGCTGATCACCTTCGAGCATGTCAGAAACCTAGATATCTCCTTAACAAATCACGTTAAGTAATATCAAACCGGCGATTGGAGTCTATCTAATATATGCCCCATCTACACTTTAAAGTCCGCGAATTTGAGGCCCATCTGGTTGTTATCTGGCGCTCCCTCGACGAGCCCGAAGCCAAGACGCGTATAAAACTTCCTCGCACCCTCGTTTCTCGGATCGAGGCCAAGCCACACCCCGTCGATCCCCTCGCCTCCCAGGAACTCCATGGCGGCAGCGATGAGCTTCCGCCCCCATCCCTGGTTCTGGTACGCGCCCAGGATGTCGATGTGCAGGTGCGCAGGGGAGAAGGCGATATTCGCGTCGGGCGCGGTGTGCATGTTTCGCAGGAGCTTCGAGTAGTGCTGGTCCCCCGGCTTGGTCATCTTCTCTGGGGGGTACTTCTCTGCGAGTGGGGGCCACCAGTGCTCCGCGGCGTAGCGCTCATAAGCGCGCGTGTCCGTTGAGCCGAGGATGTAGCCGACCACTTCGTTCGTTGCGTCATCTTCTAGGACGAACCCCCAAGTGGTAGGAAGTTTGACATAGGGTACAGCGTATACCAGCCCCGGGAGTTCGCCGAAGTCGTGTAAGGGTTCTGCAGATACCCCAGCGTCTGCGGTGAGAAGGCAGATTCGAGAGAGAGCACTCTCGTCACATTCCTTTGCTCGTCTGATCGTCACGGGCATAGTGGCTGAAAATAATGTCGCCTCAGAATCGCTGCTCATCTTATATGTGAATTCATAGATGCCTATCGTCTGTAACAGCTGACTGATGAGTAGGTGACTCGAGGGCACATGAACTGAGCGGCGAATCTTCGGCAAATCTTCCCTAGAGATGAAGAATAATACCCTGGCGGTACACTGGAAGCTTCATGATTCTTGGACTAAGAACCATTCGTACTAGTCAAAGTCAAATACTTCTTGAAAGCTTCCTCCATCTCCTCGAAGGTCCTTAGCTGATTAGGCGCATATCGTTCGTATTTCGGCTCTGTATCGTACGCAATCTGCGCCGTTCGAATCTGGAAAAGGTGAACCATGATTCGCATCATATTTTTCTATTCTTTTCAAGAGATAAAAGCTCACTAGGATATCTGCGGTGAGACCAGTGACAGCAGTGGCAGAACTTCGGAAAAAGTGCCACCTATAGCTGGTATTTCCTAGCGAGGCGACGTTGTAGTAATCCTTGAAGTCCTGATTCAAGAAAGAAAAAAGGCATGTCGAAATGAAGTTAGATCTCAGACCACACGAATTTGTGTACAATCTCGTTATTGCAGCAGACACGTTGGGAACACGTACATGATGGCACGGCCCATGCGGCCAATGCTCGCCCCGCGGAACGAGCTCCTCCAGCTCCTCCGCAAGCTCCGGGTCGACCATCGCCTCGAGCGGGTGCGAGAAGATATGGTCCACCTCGCCGGTCGCCGCCACCAGCCGCTCGACCAGAGTGCTGTCCGTCACGAGCGCTACCACCGGGGTGACGATGAGTTTGTGGAAGGGGTGCAGCTCGAGTCGGCCGAGGGTATGCACGTGTGGGCAGGGAAGGGGGAGGGCGACCTCTTCGTGGGCTTCGCGGAACTAAGTAAAGGACGGAGAGCAGATAAGATAGGGAGAGTATGGGGTGTGAGGAGCTGGACGTACGGCAGTGGCGATCATATCCGCATCCCCTTCCTCCATCTTGCCCCCGGGGAGAGACGTCTGCCCTCCATGCGTCCTGAGGTCCTTCCCGCGAGTGGTGAGGACTACGCGCAGCGCGCCGTCACGCTCGAACAGTAGCACGAGCACGGCTGCTTTCCTTGAGGAAGGCTCAGACTCGCTGTTCCGATGAAGATTCAGGACAACGTTAGTGTCGTGCCGCGGAAAGAGTGTGAGGACGACTTGAACTGACGGACAGAAGTGAGGCGTGCGAGTCCTGTTGGCCCGCCGTCGAGGCGAGGAATTGGGAGAGACGCTCGATGCAGCGCTTGCTCTTCTCGGAGAAGTGGGAGATCGAATCGGAGGGCAGGTGGTCCATGGGTTCTGGTACTGCGAACGATTAGACTGGAAGATAATCGTCGGAAGGGTTGGAAGGAGAGAGAACGGGGGAGAACGTGGGTTGGACTGTGCAGACTGAGACTCGCAGAGCTTCCTATTGACCACTTGGGTATACCCGGTTCTTGGAACTGCCGGACTGCGGGAATAGATGACATACGGGAATCTGTGCAATAGAGACGCAGTACTCCGCGTATGTGGGATGAAGAGCAGAGCGGGCAGAGTCAGGGCAGAGTCAAGTAGAGAGTTAAGAGGTTCAGAGACCGCATGACATGGTAATTCGGGATAAAGTCGTCTGCTCCATCCTGAGGAGCATACGACCTCTTTCTCGAACCCAGCGGACGCAGTTGCAAGTCCTAAATTACATTGGTGGTATCCTACGGTAAAATGCTACGATAGCGTATCCAACTGCTTTGGTTACTTTGGTATGTGAGTATATGCTCAATTGGTGTTGCGGGTGGTCATCATTAGGGTGAGGGTGAGTGAGTGATATAGGCGAGGATTCCGGTGGAAAGCGGGGATAGAAAACAGGGAGGAAGAGTGGAAAGGTGGAAGAGTGGAAGAGTGGAAGACGAAGAGAGGAGAGAAAACAAGAAAGGACAACAGGTAAGCCCGAAAGTAAGCGAAATTCGAGAAATTGAGTGGAAGAGGAGAGGGAAGTGAAAAAGAAAACAGGAAAAGCATTAGTCGTGAGGGTCGTGACATTAAGAGTTTGCCGGTACCACGAAGGGCACGGGTTAGAGGTGCCGCGTAGGGTGAGGTTGGGGTCGTAAATGGCGTGCTGATAGATAGATGTCGTGGAAGATGAGGATGATGATGTTGAGGAGACAGACCGATGTCACCCATAGATACTCACTCCAACCGGTCCAGCCACCCACTACCCAACAACCCCAGGCCCCGTCCCCGATATCGAGCTCACACCCTTCAGCACGTCCGCCCCGACCTCGCGGAGCGCCTCGCCTGCGCGCAGGAACGGCGCCGTAAACGACAACTTCCGTTTTTGCGACGGGCTTGTTGGGGTGTGTCCGTGCCCATTACTGTGGGTATGCGCATGTGTATGTGAGCCTGATGATGGGCTGGTGGGCGTCGTGCTGGGAAATTGGGTAGTTGTATGCGCGTGCGTATGTGTGTGCGTGGGATGGGAACCTGAGCCTGAGTTAGAGGGGATGGGGATGGGCGCCGAGGTCGTATGAGCGGGGCTGGGTGTATGCGATTGGGTCGAGGCGTCCTTGTCTGAATGTGATGAGTGGTGCCCGTGCAGGTGGAACGGCGAATGCGCGGTGCTCAGAATGTTTTGGAAGGCCGTTTGCGCGTGCAGGAGCGGCGAGCCCGCATGGCCCGCGTGCTGGTGGTGGGGTACGGGCGAGACCGAGGTTGTCGTGCTTGTCGTGGTTGTGGAAGAAGAGACGGAACCCGAGGACGAAGACTCGGAGGTTACGATGCCAGGTCGGAGAGGCGCGAGGGGTTTCGAAGGAGTTGACGAAGGCGAAGATGAAGGGAATGGTGAAGGTGATGGCGCAGATGAAGATGATGGCGCTGTGGGTGCCAAAGAAGACAGACCAAACAGCGGAGTCGCTGTCGCAGTTACTACCACAACTTCCTTATCTTGCACCTCCATCCGCCCAGAGCCCGTCTCGATGATTGTTGCGCGTTCCTTCACCAGTTGCGCAGCGAGAGCTTTGGATGACGGACGCGGGCCCTTGGGCGACATGGGCGGATTTGAGTTGGAGTTTGACGAGCTAGAAGTGGAAGAAGAGGTTGTAGACACGCTTAGTCGTTTCTTCGTAGGCGTTGGGGAGGTTGACCTGTCGGCTGCTTGGGAGGTGGCACTGGGTGTTGTCGGGTTTGAATTCGAATTTGATATTGATCCCGAAGACGACGTAGACACTGTCGAACCAGATGAAGTCGATGTCTTTCCTTTCGGCGTATTCGTCGGCGTGCTCGCAGTCGAAACCACGGCATGAGAGGTTCCGATCGCACTAGCGCTCGTCTTCCGCGAAAGGGACGCCTTCAACAAACTCTCCTGACTCGAATTCAGCGTCGAGCTCGAGTTCGAGACACTGCCCCTCTCGACCAATAAACTATCCTTCGACCCCGCCGCCGCCGCACTACTCTTCGAATCCTTCCCCTTCCCCTTCCCACCAGCTCCACCACTACCACTCAACTCCACCGCGCTCCCATTCGGCGTCGGCACGGGGCTCACCCTCGGACTCGGACGCGGGCTCGGCGTCCCGCTCCTGCTCCCGCTCGGCGAGCGTCGTGGTAATGGGAAGAGCTGTGCCTCGTCCTCTTCTTCTTCGTCGATGGGCGACGAGCGTGCGGGCCCGGGCCCGGAGGAGCGCAGGCGCCGGCGCGGGTCGAGGATGTCGGGGAGGGGCGGGAGGACGTCGTCCTTGTCCTGGTCGTTCGAGGCGTAGGCGGAGACAGAGGCAGAGGAGAAGGAGGAGGTTGTAGAGGCCGTTGGGCTGGAGGAGATGTCGCGGTCGTGGGGACGGTGGCGGCCCGCGTTCGGATGGCACGGGGAGCCAGAGTAGGGCGAGCTGGGGGAGTGGAACACGGTTGTGGGAGCGAAAGACGGCGAGGAGGGCGAGGGTGGGGATAGAAGCCCGCGAGCTTGAAGATGCTCAGCTACTTCTTTCTCCTTGCCCAAGTCGAGCGACTTGCGCCGCTTGTCGACCTCGTCGACTGTCAGCGCGAATCTGCCAGCTGAGGACCCGAATCGCGGGACGGTCGGGCTCTCGGGCTCGTTGAGGTTGAGGGCGTCGTCTTGGGCCGATAAGGCACTCGTTCCCCCGATGGAGAGGATGGAGAACTCCTTGTTGAAGCTCACCGCTCTCCTATGCACTGCCAAAGGATCGGGCAGCGAGGCGAAATCTGACGGGGGCGAGGACGACAACGAGGTAGGGGACCGCGGGGGCAGCATCCCCGAGCGCACCATGTCCTGGTAGTCCAAGCTCGTGCTCCGCCGCCTCTTCGCCGCGCGCGAGAACTTCTCCTGCCAGGTATCGCCCTCCTTGAGGGGCTCCTCCGTGATGCGCTCGCACTCGTGGCAGCAGTCCCGTAGGGGCACGGTCATCTCGTCCTTCCTGCGCTGGTGGTGGGCGTCGATGTGGTTAGGGGGCAGCGAGGGCCGGCGGACGGGAGAGAGGGGCATTCTGCGGGTGATGGTGGGTGAGGAAGATGGCGCGCGATGGACGAGGCACGAGGGGAGTTTGGTGGGCACCACGGGCGAGGCAGAGGCGGACCTTCCGCGCGTAGGCGAGCGTGACGAGCGGCGGCGGAATCTGCACCTCGCTCTTGAGTTCTTCCGCTTCTCAATAGACGGATAAACACATACGTTGGGATAGGCACTCTGAGTACAACCCTCGAGTCCTCTGGGCTGGGGGAGCGAGCCCCCTGCGAGCGCACGGCCCCCGCATCCTCTGCCTCCGAGTCCGACATCTGGCTTCCCCGCTTCTTCCACAACGGCAGCGAATACGACTTGGTGAGGACCATGGAGCGCTTGCGGGAGACCTCAGGTATGAGCACACACTCGTTGTCGAACCGCACGACGCGGCTGGTGTCTTCGGGGGACTCCATGCCGGGGAGCATGAAGCCGCTGCTGGTGGAGGCGGCCTCGACGATGGTTGTCGCGGTCGTCGCCATTGTGGTTGGGGGACGGAGGGGGGAGAAGGTGGTGGTGGTTGGAGGAAAAGAAAAGGAGTGGTGCGATAGTGCGGTCCTTCTTGAGTGTGTGGGGGCTTGTCACGGACCCTGACTTCGGAGCCTTCTCCCATTCAGGGTCAAGAACCGCATCCAATGGCCGCCTTCCAATTCTCCACATCGGACCACCAGGCCTCCTGACGGTCATCGTTTTTCGCGTGAGCTTGTCTGGTGCGTCCATTCCATCGTTCAAACGTTCACTAGAGGTTTACGGCGTCGGTATCTACGAAAATGAACCTCTCAAGGCCCAATTCAAACCCAGAGGGAAGCGCTAAATATCCGAAATCCTCATGGTGATGCAGGAAGGCGAAGATTTCTTCCTCAGTCTGATGCGAGCGCAAGCGAGGCAATCGAGCGGGCTTGGGCTGAACTTGGAAGGGGTGTGCGGCCCTACACCTCCGGCGCCTCAGGCGCCCATACATACCAGTTTCGTCATGCGCTCAGGAGTTGGAGACATAAAACTTGTAAGATTTGACAAAATGGTCCCTCCAAGCGGTGCTGCACCGACTTGCACAGTCGCGGAGCGTCTTCCAAGCAATTGTTTAATTGCTTGTGCCTGCCTCGCTGACCGAGTCTTCCAGATCCGAGAACGCTCAAGCTTGAGCTTGAAGAATGAATCGAGCTTCGCCGAGGATGAAGATGGCGTCCGCGCCCACGTCTAGGCTCTAGACACAATCATCAAGAATCGCGCGCCAACTTCTTCGCAGTCCCCGCACGCAAGTAATTATCAATTGCTGATAAATGAGCTCATAATTGTTGCCGACTTCTCTATACCGGCGGAACAGATAGTTGATATCACGCCTCGACTGTCCGCGGCGCTACGGTCGTCGTCTTCTCAATAATGCTCGTAGTCTTGCGCTTTGAATCATCCTTCGAACGGCGATGGAAACGCTATTACCTGTCGACATCGAAGATGAGTCGTTAGTCGTCTATTGGTATAGATATTGATATATTACGAGCATCCCGCGGTCGCCGTCCACTCACTCAAGCGCTCAAGCACCCAGTGCTCTGGCTTCTAAGTTCTGGCGCTCACGGCAGCCTACGAACGCAAACGGAAGAAAGGCTTACGATATGAATACGTCGTCTATGTGATCTTTAGAGCGACTCGACCGGTCGGGAAATAGCAAGAACTAAGTCCAGTATTTCCTGATTCAAACAAGAGGGTGCTCACAATGACTTGAGTAATGGGCGTCCCAGGTGACCCAACATCAGATGCCCTGCCACCACGAAACGGCGTTTACATAAAGAAACGTGCTTCTCAACCACCTCCAATCACTTACTTTCATCCGCGCAGGCTTGAGTAGATTCGAGGTGAGCGCCGAGGCCAATCCCACAAACGAGTCTCCCATTCCTTACCTTCAGTCTGCAGCACGAATCACGATGGACAACAACCTCTTCCAGAGCACCGATAAGGAGTGCATCATGTGCAACAAATCAAGGCAGTGTCCCGGCTGTCAGGCCAAACTGTACTGCAGCCAGAAGTGCAGAGCAGTCGACGCCCCAGTGCACATCCTCCTCTGTAGCTCTCGCCAGAACTTCGAAACGCGACCCCACCAGAACGCTCGGCGGGCCATCATCTTCGAGCAGGGCTTCCCTAGCGTCAAGTTCGCATGGATCGACATCAAGATCGAAAGCGATGAGGATGACGGCATCCCCTGGGAGAAAGCCCTGCTGGACGACTACCTCGGGACCGCCAAGTTCAAAAAAACAGCGATGTACGACCGTAACACCATTCGCCAACGCAGGACAAAAGAGATCATTGGCATCAAACATTGGGATACATTTCTAGTTGATGGCTCGCCTGTCAACCAGACCGTCGCTGCAGTTGCACCAGCGACTGGCGGTCCGGTTTGGGCAGGCCCTCTCGTCGCGATGAAGATACCAAAATCGAATTTCAATAATTTTTTGGACTTGGACATGAGGGACCTACGGGATCTGGTGGACATGTTGGCGATATATGGGCAACCGCAGTATGCAGTTGTATAATCATACAAAAGGGCTCATAGTAATGTTACGAAATCCATCTGATAGATATCTACTTCGTCGATGTACACCATTCAGCGGTGAACCTTGCGACGAGTATTGTTCGTCCTCCTGATCGGTACATTCGTCCTCTTGGTGCGATATGTATCAGCCAGTAGCGATAAACCCCAATAAGAATAAAGTTTGACCTGCTGCCATCCACAACTACCTAAGCAGATATCGGACCAGTAGCGGACAAGAGCGGGCCGCAGCGCAAAAATAGACAGTGTCCTGTATAAAGGCATGATAACTGCCCAGGCGAAGAGGTGCGGCGAACCTCAAACACGACGCATACGTCGCGCCTAAGTAATTCATATAATAAATTGCTTGGCGCGCCGTGTGGCGCAATTCCCCGAAATCAAATCCATTTTGTTCGCATTATATCAGCAACGCACGGGCCTTATCTCCATCATCCATGATCGGCGCGGTCGTCACCCGGGTGCACATTCCAATAACCATAATGCGCGTGCCTTGGGCGATGCGCAGCCTTCAGCATGCTTCTGTTGACGATCGTCGTCGGCTCAGAGACTCACTATGTATACGGCACGTCGTCGTTGGCTTGAAAGAAGGAAAAAGACCGTCGTTTTCTCAAGCTTCGAGCATCGAATCATCTCTATAATCAGTCAAAGCTCCAACGCGAACTACGGGGCGAGCGTCACGAGTAGCAATGACCGACTTCGTGATGCCATTTTCCAACACGCGACGACGCGCATGTTGCCAGGAGGACCTTAGAAGCTTCACGGTGATCCCGAAGGATCGCCGCCCCTTTCTTTCCTCAGGGCATGAGCTCGAATCGTATAAAAACCCCACTCCTGGCGAAGGGTGCTCCCTAGTGCCCGGTGCATCTCCACAAACTACCTAGGTGCGTACTGTCCGACCTTGAATGGAGGGTAGTGCTGATCAGAGGATGGAAGCAGGCTGGTCCTAAGCTCAATCAACACATACTCACATTCACATTCAAAATGCATTTCACCGCTTCGACTACACTCCCCCTTCTCGCTGCTGTTGTCGTCGGGACTTCGAACGTCCTTGCGAACGTGAGTTCTGTCCTCGTATTCTTTGATTTTATATAGCCCCTAACGCCACGGGTTTCTTTAGAACATCCCGGAATCTGACTCTCTCTACGCCCGGGAGATCGAAACGGAGCTCGAGGCTCGTGAGCTAGTGAGCTTCCCTTCCCTCGTCTTTGTTGCCCGCAGCACTCATCCAAAGTACCATCAGCTGAACTACATCCGCGAGCTCGAATTGGCCGAGCTCGACGCACGCTTCCTCGAAGACTTCACCGAGCGCGAGATGCAAGACCTCGTCGAACTCGAATCGCGCCGTCGTCGACACCGCAAACACCGTAAGAACCGCAAGCACCGTAAAGGCGGCAAGAGGGGTGGCGCTGCTGCTGCCCCCGCCGCCCCCGCCGCCGAGGCTGCGTCTCCCGAAGCTGCAGGTGCTGCCGGCCCAGCGGAGGCTGCTGCCTCTGCTGAAGCCCCAGCCGGTGGAGAGGCGGCAGCTCCCACTGCCCGAGGACTCGAGGATATGGACGAGCTCGAGGCGCGGCATGGTGGGAGACGTTCCGGCCTCCGTCGTGGCCGTGGACGTGGACGAGGAAAGTTCGGGCGTCTTGGAAGGAAGTTCGGCAATCGCAGGGGCGGACGCCGGGGTGGACGAAAGGGACCCGGTGCCGCCGGAGCCGCTGGCGCGGGCGCAGGTGCTGCAGCTGGTGCCAGTACTGCTGGCGCGGGCGCTCCCGAGGCCGGCCCCGCCGCTGGTCCTGCCCCCGAAGCGGCAGCAGGTGGTGCAGCACCCGCTGAGGCCGGTGCCGCAGCTGAGGCTGAGGCTGGTTCACCCGCCGGCGCTCAAGCGGAAGCTGCTGCTGCCCCGGCCGCACGAGGATTCGACGACGTCGAGGAACTCGAGGCGCGCAGGAGGCGTCGGGGCGGTCGCAGGCAGAGGAAGAACAGGAAGAACCGCCAGCACGCTGCAGCCGGTGCTGGTGCTACACAGGGTGGCGAGGCTGCTGGCGCCGCTGCTGGAGGTGCCGAGGGAGGAGCCTCATCACCTGCCGAGCAACCTACTGCTGCTGAGCCTGCCGCGAGGGAGGTTCTGAACGAACGCGAGCTCTTTTATCTCAATGAAGCGCTGGAAGCGAGAGAATATAGCTACTAAACGTGGTTAACACGTAGATAGACAAACTGTTTACTTTGCAGTAGGCGAATAGAAATTTCTGAATGTGTTGCTGTACGGCAGAAGTTTGGACGAGACTGAGTAGATCGAGGAAGAAGTATCAGGATCAGTCGTGCTACTATACTTCGTTCAAACAAGACCCAATTCGATACAGGAATACCCAGGACTATACAGTGAAACACAACCGAGAATTGGCATATCGCTGATCGACTGTTGTCAACTGGTAAGATATCATATATCAGTGTCCACTAACAATTGGATCCAAGTCCACTGCAAGATCAGTGAAGCCCCAATGCATGTTGACAACCTGGTCTCCTCGCTCCACGCGCTAACCACTTGGCGTGTTCAATGTCTGGCGAGATATTTTCTATGAAACTTCTTCTCGTATCGCCGTAAATGTAACATTCGGCCTTGGAGGAACTGGTTTGCGGAATGGTGAGACACTGATGTGTGGCGACCGCTTGCCTGTTTAGGGAACGGCCATGGAGCAGTTCACAGCCACAAACCCCTTCGGGCTTCCCCGGACGCCCAAGGAACGCTGGTGGGCGGATCGGCGTCTGATAGTAATCACATATAGAGTATATGAATGCACGCAGAAATTGGAGCAGGTATCTTCATTCTACACCCACCCCCAGTCAAACCGATGCCCCCTCCTACCACTTCCTCAGCGCCAGCGGGTGCCTCCACTAGGATCGCCCACCCTTCCTCAACCATCCATAGGCAGATACAACACCTCCTCTGGATATCCATAGGGCTCAGTACCGTCTTCATTGCGCTCAGCATGGTCCACATCGGTTCGCTATCCTTCTTCGTTGCCCCTGCCGCATTTGGGCTCTCCTTCATCCACAACGTCACTCTCCTCGCACTCTCCCGTAAAGAACGAAAGGCCGGGCCAGAAGCGCTAGCAGGCAAGCTCCCTGCGACGGCACGGAAGGCGACCATTATCTCCGGGTGGTTCATTACGCTCGTCTATGCAGGGGCGGTTGGGGTGACCGCAGCCTTCGTGATTATTATCGGGAATTGGGGAGAGGTCCCAAAGAGGACTGTGATTGTAGGGTACTTCGAGTGGATTTTTGGGCTGTTTGAGATGGTTGTGATGGGATTCCTGGCGTTGAAGTGCACACGCGAGCGACAGCAGATCGTGGGCCTCGCGAATACGGCGAGGTGGTATCAATTAGGCAACTATGACATGTAATGTGCAGCCTGGATGGTGAGTAGCCCTTTTCCGCTTCTGTCTTTGGTGAAGGACCAACTGATATGTCGAAGGCCTCAGCCACCAGGAATAATAGAATAAAACGATAAGACTATTGTTACGAAATTCATGGACGACATACGGACTATCATACAAAAAACGGACCCTTGTATTAGTACCATAACAAAACCTTTCAATTCTTACATCATGAGTATACTGAATGTTGCTAGTAGCAACACTCTTTCAATCTTCTTCCTGAAATCGAAGGACGAAATGAGTGTACAATATTTTCAGCCTTCAACTCAGCAGTGGAAGGCAAGTGGAAGGAGTAAGCAAAACCGATATCAATTCAAGAAAGAAAGCAAGAAATATAGTTCGTACATCCAGGTTCGTGCTCATTAAATGACTTCAAGTTCATCGTTGGATCATCACTCATTAGATCGTGCCCGCCCATTCCAAGTCCTCGACTCGCGACTTCCAAAACTCCCCCAAAAATCTAGGGGGACTTCACGCCTTCTCTGGCTGTGGCTCCGGCTCTGGCATAGGCCTAACTCGCCTTCGTACCTCGCCCGACTCGGCGATCCGACCGGTGTCGTCCATGCGCATTCTGCGAGAAGTAAACTATTAGGACATGCCTGAAACTTGAAAGAAGGAAAGGAAGGAAAAGGGGAGGGGGAGGGGGAAAAAGGAAGAGACATACAGAGCCTCGTCACCCAGGTCGGTATGGTTCTTGACGCGCAGATGAATCATGGGGAGCGTGAAGATGAGTCCGGCGACGAGGATGGTCCAGGTGGAGAGGAACATGTTCATGAAACTAGAAACAGCACGGGTTGAGGTTAGTTGGTGTACTGGGGAGGGTGACTGAAAGGGTACGTACGGAGTCCTGACGGCATCTGCGCGCCACGCACCTGCACCTCCTGCTGATTGGATTGATTTATCTAACACAAGCACCCATCAAGCATCAATCCCAACATCATACACCAACCGAACGGAAAACGACTCACAGAATCCAGTAAAATGCGCCAACTTGGCCGGGTCGTTCGACATGGCGCCCATGATCCAGTACGCGGTCGTCTGCCACATCGCGTCGAGCAGGCCGCAGAAGATGTACAGCATGATCCGCCCTGCGTAGCCATGGTCGAAGATGTCCATCTTCGTTGCGTCGGGTGGGATGGATTCGCGTGTGTATTGTCTATTCAAACCAATTTATATCAGCTTCAAGCCAATTAGAAGAGAGGAGTGGTTCAATTGAATACGCACTTCTGGTAGAAGTACGCCCAAATATGCACGACGAAGACCATGACGAGCAAGATAGTCCATCCGGAGAACGCACGCGTGCGACGCGAGATGCGCTGCTGGTCGAGCAGGAGGCCGATGCTGACCGAGCCGACGATCTGGGAGAGCCAGTAGACGAGGTTGTTCAACGACCGGGCACGGATGTTGAACAGGGCGTTGTTAAATTCGTTGAACTCTGGAATCCGTACATAGTTTAAATTTGAACTGCATAAGAAGGGGGGAAAGATGGAAAGGGAACAGGAGACGCACGCCATGTGTAAAACCAGTTCGACGCAAAGAACATCGGGAACAGGAGGATGACCATCGGGTCAGTGATGAGCGTCACCCAGAGCCCGTAGAGCTCGACGCGCCAGGAAGGGTGCCGCGGTGCGGTGACCTTCGTACCGTCGGTCCGGATCATTTGTGTTGGGTTCACCATGAGGAAGGGGATGGTAACGCCGATTAGAGTTAGGACGAGGAATCCGACCTGTAAACAGAGAATGCAGGTTAGAGGAGTATAGAGTATGGGTAAGAAAAGCGGCGCACATAGGTTCCATTTCCAACTATAGGACACGCTTGGGTTAACTGGTCGCTCTGCAAGATCATGGTTGTTGTTCGACGCACCAGAGTTCGCCTAGAACATAATGTTAGCTAGAGGTTCAATAACAACGAGGCTTGATTAATTAGACGCACTGTCGAGTGGTAGTTCTGTCCCAAAGAGACGCTTGCACCGACAACAGCTCCAAGATTGAAGATTGCCCAGAATATTCCAATAAATTTGCCCTTCTGGCTTTCGGTTGGATACGCGAGCATCAGCGAGCCTTGGGCCGTCCACAGTAATCCGGCACAAATTCCGAGGCTGGCACCAGCGCTAATGACGAACGGACCAGCGTTGGGATGGATGTTCATAGCGCTAATCGAAAATGGAACAAATACCATCAGCCATCGCCCTCCCTAGGAAAGCCGCATGTGAGAAGAGCACGTACAGGAAACCACCAATGTACAGCGAGTACCCGGTCGTACCGAGGAGCAGGGTCAGTCTAGATCCGAGTTTATTGTTGATCGAGCTGGCGGAAGGTCAGATTGTGCGGACGGGTTGGAGACAATTTGTTGCGATGTACCCAGAGAAGAACGCCCCAACGGCGAATGTGGCGTATAGAGCGGAGTTTGCGTTGGCACTGGTGGTTGAGTCGACCTGGCCTCCTCCTCCGAGGCCGTTGAGGGCGTTGAATAGACCTAGAGGGGGTCAGGTTTTGGTAGGAAGCGAGGGCGTGGCAAAGATGTATGTACCTGGACCCATGAAACACACGAATCCGAGCATCGTCACTTGGGTCACTGGGTGGTGGTAGAAGCCTTTCAAGCCTTTGGGGCGTTCGTAGACGGGGATGTGAGAGCCTTCATCGCTGCTCCCGCTGTGGTAGTCTGACTTCTCTGCGACGTCAGTCATGGTTCTGGGGTTGCCTCAGACGATGCGCAGGTGAAGGATAGTGGAAAAACGGGGGAGGGGAAAGGGCACGCGCAGCGATAACGTCTACGTGCACCATATATCAAGATATCGGAGAAAGCGTATTTTTGGCATGGAAGGGGCCAGGTGACTGCCAACGAAGCGAGCTTCGTCTTCGCCGCCTTCTGGCTTCTGGAGTCTATCAGAGTTGTATGAGCCCCGGTGCAGATAGATGTGGGTTTGCCGGCGCGGCATTTCATTTTGAAGGGGTAATGAAAATAGAAGTAGGGGTTGAGGCTCCTTGCGTTTCGGGAGCTTGAAGGATGCACGAGGTCGATGAAGACATTGTCGCCACGAAAGTCCTGTTATCATATGAGCCGTTCGGGCTGGAGAAGAGAGGGTGCCAATCAAGACAATCTACGCATGGCTTTAGCCTTCGAGATCGACCAACGTGGAGAGGAGAGCTTGAATCTTTTCCGTGTTACGATTTAATTTTGACGGGGAGCTATTTTTATCCAACATTTTTGGGGCCGTCAGGGAACCGTCAACGTCGGCCACGAGCAAATACTCTTAAACCTCATCTGAATTGTTTCGAGCGTTGTCAAACTTGTCACGGCGGAACATGTAATTGACTTGCTGAGTAGTCAGAACGGAGGAGAAACGAGACTCGGACACGACTGAGAGGGATCGGAACTTTCCGGGCGGTGTTTGAAATTAAATCTTATCTTAACCCATTTTTTTGGGATTCGCCCATGCCACCACGCCACCACCACCTCCGTACAAGGTATTCATCGAGTACACGGGAGAAGACGCCAGCTACATATGGTTTCGCTATTCCGGATCCCTCAAAATGACATGGCCATGCCAGAAATCTAATTTACCGACCATGGGAATTCGAACGGCTTTGAGGTATGTTCTTAACCTTTCCCGCACGACTTATCTTCTCTGTCTAGATTCACCCCATGCGCCGTTACGGCATACTCTTATCGACAGCTCTAGAGGGAGAGCATGCAAATGGGGGAATTCCTCCCTAGAGAGGATTAACACTAGTGCTCGTACTATGAATGCCATCGCTCCCCGTCTTTGGGCTGCAACACGGATTTTCCTCGCATATTCCTATCTAGAAGTCGGGCGATTCTGCATGCTTTCTGTGGAGTTATTTTACTACCGATTTATTCCTCATGGCACAGACGACAATCTCGGATTGACCTATTATTCCCCGAACTCACTCTCACCTCGCAATCTCGGTTCTTTGACTCTTTTTTGCCAATCCACCTTACTATCCGACAATACACACGCACGGCCGAAGGATGGACATACGTCCATCGTCGCGAGTTGATGCTAACATCCGCCCGATGAACTCCTCTCATTCGAGAGGCTTTTCGCGAGCACTGCGGTTGTGCTGGTTGGGTCATCAACTCCGACGATGCACATGTGGCCCTTCTTGTTCGTGCTGACACTATCCCTTCTTCTCGAAGCTTCTTGAAGCTGCTTGTGTGGGTGCTTTATTTAGCGCCTTCCTGTCACTTGAGCTTGCGTCTTGACGTCAAACGGCTTAGCGCTCGCGTGACTGGCACTGCCACCACAGTCCGAAGATTCGCGGATGTCGATTATCGATACACCCCTGGACTCGGAAACATGCCCCTCGCCCAACAGACAGTCCGACGAGACGATCATAAAACGTCGACTCCCCATCGACCACTTCGGACGTGTGGCGTGTGGGCGCCCTACTGACGCCTTTCGGCCCGCTCACGTCGTTCTTGTGTGGGGTGCTGGAAGTAGTGCGACTATACCGGGACTCTGCTGAGAGGTGAGTTTATTAAATCCAAAGAGATTGCATGGAGATCTTCGATGGGCGAGAGACAAATAAGGTTCTCACGCGGAAATTAGTACCCAGCACCTCAGTGAAGAAATTATTCAGATACATACTTCCTGATTTCATGTTTTGCACTTGAATGCGGTGGCCTTCGGCCCTTCAACGAATCTTTTCGTTGTATTCTACATGTAGAGTATATCAATGGAACCCCTTCGCTTTGCGTTGGGAATCTCCGAGTCGGTCTACTCGCTGTCAACAATAAACATCCTCCCTATTAAACCTAGCCTTTCTCCCATATGCATTCTCGTCTCTTTCTCCGACTCTTCTTCTCATCTCCTCGCTTGAACTCGGTCCCGATTCTGCGTGCTGTTATTGTTCTCAGTCCGGCCCTCCTCGCCCACTATCACAATCATGACGCGTCTGTGATTGTCTTCGCCATCAGCACGCTTCGAGTTGTGGGTCCGCCGCGCTTCTCGGCACAAGCACTTCCTCTTCTACGGTCTGCTAACAATGAGGCCTATTCATTCATTTTACCCATTTACATGAAGGCTTATTGATCAGATGGAGTGAATCTCTAGTGGACGTGCGACAATCACGGCTGCGCCCACAGACCGCTATTCTCTGGGTCAATGGTGCAGATGACTTCGTGTGTAGAGAAGCCTCCAGGCTGGGTCGTCGCCTCTTGAAGTCGAACAATGGCGAGGTCCTCTTTCCCTATATTTCTCGTGGGCTATGATAGTCTCGTGCTGTACTTCCCTTTGTTTAGGAGCCGTTGGTGAGTTCAAGGCCTGTAATGATGATATTTATCTTGTGGGCGGACCCTAGTCTGGCACTGTCCCCCTCGTTTGTACAGGAGCTCGTCCCATGGATGGGTAATCTTCTGGTTTAATCTCGAACGTCGGGCGCTTTTTCAACGCCAGAGTTCTTGAAATTTGAGAAAGCTCCAGAAAAATCTTATATGGCAAGTTAACCTTCATTGGACGCATATCCTTGGTTATACGGGTGGCCGAGAGTGTGTCATTTTCCCTGATCACTCCCTCGTTTGTGCTTCGGCGGGCAGTCCTTTTGTCTCTGAAGAATGAGTTGTATTAAATGTGGGTGGCCAACGGGTAGAGAAATTACATCAACTCCTCGAATTAGCCACCTCTAGGGCTGTTACGCTCGTATCCAGCGAGTTGAACTTCAGTGAACTTGGCACGCAGCAGAGTGATGGACTATAGAGATGAGTTTGCGCTCGGGAAGTGGGCTCCCTTTGTCTGGCCAAGGATGGTCATATTGAATGCGGGCCCACCAACATGCCAATAGTCTTAGATCCGAAATCAGGAAGTCCTGTTTTCTTTCTTGACTAGGAGGACGTCGGCTTGTGGATACGGTGAGAGGGTATCTCGGAGGATGTACTTCTTCAGCCCCTTTCCCGGGGTCCAGAAGAGCGGCAAGAAGCACCTGCAGTGGTTTTTCGCAACCAGTTATTATCGCTCTTCCATCAATCTTCCAACAACTGCTCGAAGCCGTTCGTTGAATCGCACGAAAGAATCGGATTTCTTAGTTCCGAGTCGGCGGCTTCGAAAGGGCTCCTCAGAAGGAGAACAAGAGCGTAGCCGTTATGCGAGCCTTCGGAAGCGCCACGCCATGCGGCTCGCGTACCCACGAGCGCCCACACCGGGGGTATTAAGCGTCGAAAGCATAAGTAAAGAAGGCTACCTTTATCTTCTTGCGGGGTTTCTCCTAGAGCTTTTCAGGCAAAAGCTAGTATGGCAAGGAGTCAGATAATTAAAGAGGCAGATAGAGGTAGAGGTTCTGGATTTGCGTAACACGTTGACGAGACAGTGTTACTATGTACAGGCAGCTCTGATTCAATCGCGGTTTCATTTCTCAGATTACAGCTTGAGGAAGGCCGCTACCTCTTCCGCGCCGACCCCACCTCGTCCGCCGGTCCTTTCAACAAGGTACCAGACTCAACGTGCCCGCGTTTCTCGCAGGAGCGTGATCTATAGCCTCCCCGCCGCGGCCGCGTTCCCAGCGCTAAATCCAGAACAAAGGCCACTGTACTCGACCTCGATCTCCCGCCGTTTTCCCTTGTTCGTCCCACCCATTTGGCTGTTGCCTGACGTCCGCTTGTATGTAATTGGGCTCGGGCTGCCTCAGGTTCGGAACTCCACACCCCGAGACGGGCGTTCCGTGCCTTTGACGGATCCTCGCGGACTTGGAAAACTGTTGACGTTACTACGAGTGCCAATGGTGTCCGTCAGGGTCGGTGCGTTGCAACGTTTCGCACCAGCATGCGCCACTGACTGACACTGAGTTACTTAGACAATAAGGACGTTGGAGCTCGAGCCTGAAGCTGGCTTGCAGCTAACCAAATTCTCGTGCCCCCTGTACGAGGTACCCGAGGCTGAAAGGTTGTTTGACGCGCGAGTGGTATTGGGCGATGCTGCAGAGAGGCTCTGGGGGTCTCGAGCTGTCTCGAGCTGAAGTTTTCCGGGGATTTGGACGAGTTTGGGACGAACGTCACTGGGCACGTCCGTCCGTCCTGCCCTTGTTCGCAGTGATCCTCGATTTGATGCCCAATGGTTTTAGTTACGCTGACAGCCGACGTAGCGCAGATACCAAGTCTTTTGTGGTGCAGAAAGCGCGTGAAGTTCGAACGTATGCGTAAACCCACACGGGGTTCAACGAAAAGCTGACACTGGAGGCTGGTTCGTAAGATGGATACAAAATGATTGGTTGGCAGGGACGCTATGCAACAATGGGAGACGACAGACGAGAGAAAAGGGCTACAAGGTTCCAAAAACAAAAACAAAAAAGGGCAAGTGAAATCCGATACGGTTCGATGAGAAACCATAAATATTAAACGAATGTCAAGACCGAATGAAGTTGACTAGGTGGGGTCGCGATGGGAGGTTGGGGATTGGGGGATTGGAATTGGGAGAGGGCGAGAGTTCCGCGATTAGGATTTAAAGTTAGGTATAGGATACGACAGTACTCGACGAGGGATACAGCCGCCTCCGTTAAGGAAGCGGCTAGATTAGGGGGAGGGGGTATTGGTATGGAACAAAACGAGAAGGGGTTGATTAGGTGGGGTAGTAAGGGTAGAACAGAACAGAACAAAACATGCGCGAGCGAAAGCACGGTGCACAGCTTCAAGCAAAGAAAAAATCGTGGAAGGAGAGTCCAGTGGGTGTGGTTTTTAAGGGGCGTTATGCGTTAGATAAATAAAGGGGATGAGTCCGAGTCGGTGTGACAGAGGATCGGTGATATAGAACAAATGAAGTTGAGAGGACTTGAAAGCAAAATACAGAACAGTGAAAGCGAGGTAGCCGAAGCAAACGCGTAAGGAGACGTTAAATATTCGTTGTTGTTTTTTCTTGGGAGGCGTTAAGGAACGTCTGTTGATCATAGGCGGGAGAAGTTAGAGGATGGATGGCACAGGAGGATGGGAAGGAGGGAGAGAGGGGAGACGTACGGAGGGGCATATGAACAAAGGCGAATGGAACAAATACGATACTTGGAATACGACATGGGGTTGAAACGTTGGCCTTGGTAGACTTGCTATCATGACTTGATTAATGTGGCGTCGGTTCAGAACCGGCGAGGGTAAACGCGGCGCGCAGGCGTCACCCACTCCTTACGGCCATACTACATCGATCGTCCATAAGCACCGTCTCAAATGAACCGAACAAGAAAGAGAAGAACGTACCTTAGGCCTCTTCTCCTCCACGGCGACCTGCATCTCCTCTTCAGCTTCCTGCTCAAAGGCGCCAGACTTGCGCTTGATCCTGATCATGAGCTTCTCGTTGTCCTCCGGGGTGAGGAGGCCACTCGAGTCGGTGGCGGAGGCGGAGGACAACGCAGCGGAGGCGGAAGAGGAGAAGATGTCGGAGCCCCAGCTGAGGCGCGCGACGTCGACGGGGACGTCCAGCGTGGGGGGCAGGGCGGGTATCGCGTGCGTGTGCGTGTGGGCGTAGGTGTGCTGTCTGGCCCTTGGCATACGGGGCCGGGCTGCGGGGCTGGGAGCGCCGCCAACTTGGGTTTGCATGTCGATGGAAGTCTCGGCGGTGACGGGTACGTCGTCCATCATCGAGGGGCTGTAGTCGACGGGCGAGTGCTCGATCGACACCTCGGGGATCTCCATCTGGTCCATCTCCTCTTCGTCGTCCATTACCATCGCCATCACCACCTCCTGAGAGTCTTGTGGGTCGATCGTCGTGCAGGACCAGCGTGAACGTTCCTCGACGGCGTAGCTGGCGTTGAGGGCAGAGGCGGGAGTGAGCTCGACGGTGACCGTAGAGTAGACCGAGACGGACGAGGCGACGCTGACACCCGACGCCGCGTCTTGGCCGTGGGCAGCAGGCTGAACCTGTACGGAGGGGATCGCGCATCGAAGGACGGGGCGCTGTGCGCGCCTGATCGCGCGTTCCTCCTCGAGCTGTTTGAGCGCCATCTCCGTCGCGCGGCGCGGGATCGGAGCGACGATCCTGCTCTCCTTCGCCCTCACCTCCCTCATCGCCACTTCCTCAACACCCTCCTCTCCTAGCTCAAGCACCGGTAGGGGCAGGACGCTCACCTGCGTATACTCGAGCTTGCGCGCGGCTTGGGTGGACACCTGGAGGCGCAGTGCCCGGGCCCTTTTGCGTGCGTGGTGCGTGGGCGTGAGGGAGGCGCGAATGGACGCGGCGAGCTGGGAGTAGTGCGCGTTGGCGCGCCGGAGGACGTGGAGGAGGTTCTTGACGTGGTGCCGGGAGGAGGTGGGGCGGGCAGGGGTGTAGTGGGAAGATTGGGACGACATGATGAGTTATGGGTGGATAAGTGGTGCTGGGTGGTGGGTAATGGGATAGATAGGGTGTAGGGAAGAGAGGAGCGTCTTATAGAAAGCAAGCGATGAAAGGCCGGTCGGTCGTATGTCGTATTATCGTATGCACGCACTGCGTGTCAAAGGTCGAGCGAGGGAGGGTACGAACAAAGGCAAGCACTCGTAAGTCGGAAGTCGGGTCGGGAGAAGGAGGGGGCGAGTGGCTCAAAGCACCTCGTGTCTAGATGAAAGGAAAGAAAGGAGGGGGCGCTTTGGTGAGGCGCGCGATGGGGTAGATATAGTCTAGGACCCTGCCCCTGGATATTGTGATATCGTAAAGCGCTGGACCCACAAACGGGCGCCATATCGAGCTTCTCTTTTCCTTGGAGTCAGAGTCGATCGAAAGGCGCCCCCTGCCTTCCCCTTCTGTTCGCATTACCCTAGGAGAGTGCTGACTAGGCTGGCTAGCCTAGGCACAGCAAGCCGTAACAAAAGAGAACAGCGAGAGAAAACGGCATGCTATTGTTCTCTCTGTGCGGGGTAAGATCTGTCTGGTACGATCTCCGATTCGGCGAAAGATTGAGGGTTCGTGCGTGCGATTGGAATTGGTAGGGAAAGATTTGGGAGCCTTGTACTTTTTGTCAACGACAGGAGCGAAATGGGGAGTTGCCTTTTCTGGCGGGGCTTTTGTCTTTTGCCGCCAATCAGCTGGGACTCCCACGCCAGTCGGTACACGTGATCTGAAACGAATTTTGGCGGACCGCGCGCCGCCCTTTCACGCTCTTGTTCTTCAAGAACTCACCACTGCGCACCCACACCGGGCTCTGTTGCTCACAAGAAAGAAAGAAAGAAAAAGAAAAAGAAAATACCAATTGTTCACATTCTCACTTGGTCCTTGGAAGAACGCGCGTCGCGAACATCGCACTGTTCTGATGTCGGCTCGGGCACACAAAGTCGGTCAGCACCCCGTCCTCCTCGTCGTCGGTGTTAATTCTCTTGACGATGACTATGACTATGGATGAACAGGATCGCTCTTGTTCTGCCCCCACTGCGGCACGCTGCTCTCCCTCCCGCGCGACGGTGAGGACTGGGTCGTCTGCGAGCAGTGTGCGCACGAGGAGCCCGCGAGCTGTACGTGTACCGTCCCTGGATTTGTGAATGTGTGATTTACGAAAGTGTTTACGACTTTTTTCTTTCTTTCAACATTTCACAACTTGACTCGGACTGAATCGAACAACGCAAAACGAAACGAAATGTTCGCTACCGCTACCCGATCGCATCGAATCGAATGGACGAGCAGCATACGAGAATGTGGTGATAACAACGCGCTCCGACCCCGAGGCGTTCCCGTCGGCGCTACGGCAGAAACGCAAGACGCAGACGAAACGGCATGAGAAGGGGGATCAAGGGACCTTGGTGCGTTTCGCTTCCTTCCTTCGATGTGATACTGAAAAGATAACTTCGCCTTCGCCGTGTAGGTGTCCGAGAAATGCCCCGTGTGCGGACATATGCAAGCTTATTCGAAGGAGATGCAGGTGCGTTTCTCCTTACGTCGTTCAAGCGTAGAGTTGGGATGAAACGAACGAATGTGATTGCAGCTACGCAGTGCGGACGAGGGCTCGACGGTATTCTACACGGTGGGTGTCTATTTTGGATGTGGCTGGGCGAGGCTGATACGTGGCTGGGGGTAGTGCACATCGTGCAAGCATGGCTGGCGGGTGAACAACTAGGCGCTACACGTAGACACCGACCGAGCAGAAGAGCGCAACAACACCAAAGCCGCCTAGTGTGCTAGCGAGGAGGGCGACGAGGGGTTCCTGTATGCTGAGTTTGTTCGTTGGGAGGCTGGATAAAAGTAATGAGCACTTGTATATTCTCGAGACTGGTTATATGCGTACGTGGAGAAGTAGAAGGCTAGTAGGAAAGTCGGGAAGAGGCAGACGAAAGCGAGGTAGGGCAGGAAGGCTGTGGGCACGATGGGGCTGAACGCCGGCAGCGCGTGGTGCAGCGTCTACTCGATATTAGCAGCTGTGTACCCTGGAGAATGAGACACGTACCCTGAGGTCGTTGTAGGAAGCCATGATGGAGCGTGGAGTGTGCGCTGTAGTTGCTGACGTACCAGGAGACAAACACGTGTCATCAACCCATATCAACCTCTTTCCGCCCTTCTCTTTGCACACCACTCACCGTCACCACCACCAGCACCAACGATGTCTGCAGCCCAGCGCGTCCAGCAGCACCCCGTCTTCATCCAGGCCCAGACAAAGGCCTCCTACTACGTCAACCAGCTCGACAAGGAGGTACGTATCCCCCCCAACAACGGGTAACCACCGCACTGACACCTGGCTCCAGCTCACCAAGTACCCCGTGCTCAACACCCTCGAGCAGCGCACCCAGGTCCCCAAGGCCTACGCAGTCATCGGCGGGCTCTTCCTCATCGTCTTCCTGCACACCTTCAACGCCCTCGCTGCACCCGTCTCCAACCTCGTCGGTTGGGGCCTCCCCGCTTACCTCTCCTTCAAGGCAATCGAGTCGCCCTCGCCCCACGATGACGTCCAGTGGCTCACTTACTGGACCGTATTCGGCGCGTTCAACTTTGTAGAGAGCTTCGCCCTGCGCTTGGTGCTGTATTATGTGCCCTGGTACTTTGCGTTCAAGAGCCTGTTCATCGTGTGGCTCCAGCTCCCGGCGTTCCGCGTATGTGTTTCTTTGGGAGTGCTTGTGTGCCACTTTTTCTGACCAGTGGTTTTTGGGTACGATAGGGCGCCCAGGTGGCTTACTTCAACGTTATCAAGCCCCTCCTCGCCAATGTGAGCTCTTCGACCCGCTCTCCCGCCCCCGCCACCACAAATCCAGAGCCCGCCGCTCACGTCGAGTAATCTCCCCCTCCTTCCTTTTCTTCCCTCTTCTCTAGCAGCAGAGATCTTCCCGCTTTTCTTCATGACCTATGGTTTTCTTTTGTGGTCGCCTAGAACTCTCTCTCATCCTTCTCAAACAAATCCGTGCTTGCAATCCCACCCTCACGTAAAATTCGCTTACAGTCCGTAAGTAAGTAGCTCGCCGGTCCTCTTTCTTTCTGTACATGTACACCTAACTAGACCTCCTGCACGCCCCTTCCTTACGAATCGTAAACGAGTTTCTATTCTTCCTCGTGTGCTGGTTTCAGTGGAAGCAAAATCTGAGCGCGTAAAAAATAGGCGAGCCATGGTGACGCACCCGCAGCCAATCGTGTCCTGACTGCGTGATTTCGCACGCACGGATGCTTGGAATGACGTAATCGCACGCCGCACCTGAAACCCGCGCACATCAACGCATCACTTCCAAAACTTTCTTAAGAAATTGTGGCGACCTCGAGAGATCTAAACTCCTAGCGCTATTCTTCCCTTCCTTTCCTTTCGCATGGCTTCCGTGCTCGTACACCCAACGACAGTCGGATGGCACCCCGCGTTGCACGGCTGGCATTTGCTCCGGGACCACTTTTGGGGAAAGCCGACTGCGAGTACGATCGTCGACCATGTCTTGAACTTCCCTACCTCTGCCCCGTTCACTCACATCTACCTCGGACGTACGAGGGGAAGTATATTCGTGCGCCAGGAGTATGTTGATGTGTATGAACGACTCGTTAGCGCCGAGGCGCTTCCTTTCAAGTCGGGCCGTGTATTGACGGGCTCTCCAGGAATAGGTCGGCACTGTCCTGAATCACGGTGCATCCGCATGGCCCTGACCATCCATTAGGCAAATCGACCTTTCTGATATACGCCCTTGCACGTCGCCTGGCAGAACGACAAGCTACCTTCTACTATGGAGGCGAACATTCGGTTCTCCTCTTCTGTGACAAAGGCGTATATCAAAGATCGACGGCCGATCCCGACCTTGCAGAACATGTCTACCCGCTATTCGATCCTGATTCCACTCGCCGTCCATGGTCGCTCATAGACGCAGGCCCAGTAGGGCAGGAACCAGCAACCGCGCTGACCACAACCGATGTAGTTTTCCCTGTGCACGCGGTCGAGCCGGACGAGAATCGGTTCAAGTCCTGGAAGAAGAGGTCTATATCTCCGCTGTGGGTTATGCAGCCTTGGGAGGACGGGGAGCTGGTTAAGGGGTTCGTGTGGTTTTTCTCCGTTTGTGCAAAGGGGATGCTACTTTAGCAGGAGTTGATGTTAACTGAAATTGAATTGCAGGTTGGCGTTGCATGGCGTTGAGTGTGTAGGTGCGGGCCCAGGAGAGCGCCTCGTAGCCGACTCTCGGTGGGACACCGTCGGCCCGTGCATACGCGACTTTGTAGCCTTCGTCGTGGACCCAGCGACATTCCGCTCGAGCATCGAAGACGCCGCCAACCAGCTCTACACGCCCCAAGACCTCTTCAGGGCCGTAGCCAACACCTCATACTCATCCTCATCCAGCCCCATCTCGGATGCCCTCTTCGTTCTCTCCCGATCCCAGACCGGCGGGGCGCCGGGCACGGATTTGGGGGTCGTGGACTTCAAGTCGGGGTTGGCGATGCGGTGCTTGACGAAGAGGTTCCCGGGGCTGGGGCGAGACGAGGCGAGGATCTTATCCCAGATTGCGGCTTCGCGAGGCGGTACTGCCCTCGCAGGGTGGATCTTCGAAAGAGTGGCTGTCTACTTTTTGAGTGGGAATGGGACGCTGCTTGATGGACCCTCGGCTCTCAAGGGGTTCCACTTGATGTGCCGACGGCCTGGGTGCGGTGATGAGCACGAGACCGCTGGTGCTGGGGCCGAGTACGTGTATGCGCCTTCGGACGATGTTTTGGAGGAACTGCGCGTGGAGACTGGGTCCGTCCGCCTCGTATCCTCGCCAAGGAGCTTCGGGGAACGTTCCACTGCGCCCATACCCAGCCCCACGCCGCCTCGCACGAGCCTGCCCGTCCAACGGCGGTCGATCGTCCTCTATGACTCTATCGACGCTCTCGACGTCCTAGACCCGACGATGTTCTATGTCGCGTGCGGCGAGGAGCACTCCCCGCTCTTCGATGCTTTTTTCCTCGATCTGTTGGCGGACTCGGACGACACCAACTCATATGTGATGTGGCTCCTCCAGATGACGGGTGCAGGGCGCCGTGGCAGTTTGGACACGGACAATGGGTACGCGGACGTTCGTGCGCTTCTTGGAAAGGCGGGCGTGAAAGAGGTCAAGTACGTCCTTGTCGTTCCTCGTGGGTCAGCGAAGGAGGTGAAGAAGAGGTCGGCTTCGTGGACTATGCCGGATGGGTGGGAGGGCGTTGGCGTGGATGTTCAGGGTGAGGTGTATGTGCAGTTTCTGGATGTTGATGTGCAGATTGTGTAGCTGCTTCAGCTGGTTGATTCGTGCCCAGGATTGATGTGCATATTGATCATAAGTATAGGCTACTAATCTACTTTACAATTCTTGTGTTGTTATAAATTCATGTTTAACGTCTAGTCATTCTGCACTCCGTCATGTAAGTCATTATTGAGACAGATCGTGGACAGACGTTGGTTACCCAGGCACCGATGTCGTAATGTTTTGCAAGTCCGCGAGGATCCGTCAAGGGCTCGGAGCAACGAAGCGACGCCGATGCGATAAACCCAGGTGTCTAGATAGGTAGGGAAAATAAGGGAAAACGGTGCGGAGGTCCTTGTTCTGGATTTAGCGCCGGAGGTACCTGCTCCTTCTTTAGCTGGACTCGGGCAAGCGGCTGCATGCAATGTGCTCAAAAACGCCGAACGATAGTTATTTCTGACCTGTGCAAGAGGTCAGAAAATTTCTTGGACCTTGAATGACGCATGGCGCTAATCCGCGACGCTTTAAACATTGTAATTTTATGAGCTAAATTCCATGGCCAGGGGTATCCAGATCCCGCATCGTAAACGAACAACCACTGTCTACTTAGATCTCTCCGCGTCGAATAACCTTTCAGGCTGAGGCACAGTTCACACAGGAGATGGAAAATTGTCTGCGACGTTGATGACCTTATTCTTATTCTCGTAACCCATAAACCCGGAAATCGCCACCTATGGAACAGTCCACACCGTTGCGCTAGAGCCCGCGTTGAATCCCACCTCCTGTCCAGAAGTGACGGTGGCCCACGCTCGTTGCCAGATGAACAGATGGAGGTGCCGCAACAATTTACAAGTCCGCGACGATCCGTCAACGTGTCGGAGGACGGAGGAGCGAACCTGAGCCTCGAGGATCAGACAATGATGATGCTCTGTCAAGCAACGGCCAGATAGGTGGGGGCGAACAAGGGCAATGGCGCGGGATCGAGCGGGGCGAGGAGAGAAGGGATCGCGCCAGGTGATTGGTCATGGAAGGCCTTTGTTCTGCATTTAGCGCCCGATGACGGTGTGCTGGACGATCTGCGGTTGAAGCGCGCTGACGGGCCCGAATTCAATCACGCTTCCACAACCAATCCATCGATATCTGACTGTGAGAGGAATCGAAGATCAACGAGGGAACTTCGAATGGTCCACAATAACGTTACCCCGCGCCGTCCAGCGCAGAAGGGAAGAAGTGGTCGAGATTCGGGAAGACCATCGTAGGCTTGGAATTAAATGGGTACCCCCGAGTCGGAGACGCCCGCGTGTGCCATGGGGACTTCTTGCGAGCATCGTGGGGGATCATGCAATCAGGAAGCACGAAGTTCGCTGGAGTTTTCCACGCTTAGGCGCTCGCAGGTGGGCGCCAGGGGTGAAGACAAAAGAGAGGTCCCAAAGTGGAGTCGAAAGCAAGTGGAAATCTTTCAGTGTGATAATGAATTGAATGCTTTGATCTATCCTTTTCTAGCGTTTGAACAATATGGGTCTCATTTATACTCAAGTCCAGCCTTGCGTGTCCTCGCAATCTTTTATCATCGTCCTAAAAAAACAATAACAGTTCCAAGAGCCAGGGCTTTGATTTATTGCTTTGCGGTCGAGCAGTGCTACTTGAGAACTAGATGGGTACAGCAAAAGGTATCGGTACTAGTTTCATGTATGAATAGAGTTACAGATTTCTTTCTTTCTTTCTAGGCTGTATGGTCTCGGTAGGCAGATGGAAGAAAAGGAACAAAAAGGAGGATGATGCATCTTGTGGTATGCACTAGTACTAGTGGGGTATAGGATTACGATGGTTCAAAGCAAAGCGAGACGAAGACAAACGAATAGACTACAAGGAAAAGAAGACAAAGGACACACCAGCACCGTCGTTAGAAAATCGTCGCCAAGGACCCATCCTCTCTCGCACCTCCCAAACCGGCTAGGGCACCCACGCCAGGCCCATTCTTCCCAAACGTGAACCCAACCCATACCCCACGCTTGAACGGCTCCTCCTTCTCCCTCACCGCCTCCACATTGCGCTGCTTCTCCTGCACCTCGGCGTACTTCGCCATATCCTCCGGACTCGAGAAATCATCATAATACCCCGTGTCGATCTCCGAGTCGAGGGCGGGCACGAAGGGTGCGCGAACCGCGCGGAGGTCGTCCCACTTCACCCGTGAAAAGAACGGATGTGATGTGAGCTGCGCGAGCGAGGCGTACCGCACGGATGCGTGTGCGATGAGCCGCGTCACCGCGTCCCACGCAACGTCGGACAGGTTGAATATGAGGTCCTCGGGCTTGTCGTACTCTGGTCGCCGCAGGACCTTGGTCCAGTTCTTGAGGTTCGTCCATGTCTCCTCGGGGGTGCTGCCGGAGAAAGGGGGAAAGCCAGCGAGGAACTCGAAGAGGATGCACCCGAGCGACCAGTAGTCGACGGAGTAGGTGTAGGGCTTGCCCCGCAGGACTTCGGGCGCCATATAGTCGGGCGAACCGACGATGGAGTCGGCGTAGCGAGGGTCTTCGTTGCGGATGGATTTGTAGATTGAGCGTCGCTCAATGGTGGAACGGTGGATTACTTGATTGTCTTTGACTTTGTCCAGCTGGGTAAGGGTTAGCTAGGTATATGCGCGAGGATGAAGCGACATACCTTGACTTTGAGTGATTCTATTCGTTTAGGGTTGAGCGCTCCTGTCGCCAGCCCGAAGTCGGTGAGTTTGACATGTCCAGTCCCATCCACGAGGAAATTCTGCGCATATATTCAGTGAAAGGACGCGACGATATGAGGACTCTGCCTACCTCAGGCTTGAGATCTCGATGGATGTACCCTAACTTATGTAGTTCGTTCACCGCAGCAAACATCTCGCTGATGTAAAATCTCGCGTGTTCCTCCTTGAGCACGCCCGAGTTGTTGAGTAATGTTCGAAAGTCGCCTCCCGGAACGTATTCCATAGCGAGGTATACGTGTTCCGGATCTTGGAACGCATATAGTAGGCGAACGAGCCAGGGTGTCTTCGTGGCTGTCAAGATATCTCTTTCAACCAGCACATGCCTGATCTACGCCGCCGGTGAGCCACTAAGCTACCATACCGCTGAGAGTTGTACGCACCTCGTCCATCTTAAACAGTGTCCGTTTCCGCATCTTCTTCAACGCACATACCTCGCCCGACTCCTGCTTTCGCGCAAGGAAGACCTCACCATACCCTCCCTGCCCCACCTGCGCGATGATGTGGAACTGATCGACCTTGAGTTTCGTGCGTCTTCGTCGTAGGAGGACCCGTTCTCGACCACAGTATGACTTGAACTCCTTTGCGTACTCGGCCCCTTTGAGCTCACGCGCCTTTGTGTCCTGGTCGAACTTTGCCCGTCTGTCCTTGCGTGCCGCGATGTATCCCAGGGTTTGGAAGTAGTAATCGAGGAAATCTGGGAGGATCGTATCAGCCCACCATCGACAGATCGCTCGTAAGTGCGAAGATCGGACTGACAGAGTTGTGCCACGGTCGCCTTTCGTCTGACCTCGCCACTCTCGAGCAGCTCTCGCTCCCAGACGTCGAAGCCCGTACCGTTGGCCCGCAGGGTGTTCTCGGTGCCGACACCGCGGGCGGTCTGCATGCGGATGTCCTCAACCTGGCCGACGCCGAGGCCCTTCGCGGTCTGCATGTGGATATCGCCGTACGAGTGGATGGAGGGCAGGCCTTTGGCGGTGTCCATGTGCACGTCGCGGTAGTAGGGCGATTTCGCGGATGGTTCTGGGAGCCCTGAAATGTGCTTTGAAGGCGAGGGAGGGCCTGAAGGGAGTGGTGTTGGTGGCATGGCGGGGGAAGAGAAGGAGATGAGATGGCTGACGAGAAAGACTCAGAAAGTTGAAAGACGCGAAGTGAACCAGAGTCAGGTGACCAAAGTGCTATAAATGTGGCGCACAAACTCAATCGATCTTTCTTCTCCCTTCGAAGAGTCCCAGGCCTAGCTTTCTGACAGAATCTTACTGCTATCTGGTTGAAACCTTGCTTCCGCTTCCAACCATGGCGCGTCTATTCTCGACGTGGATTTGAGGCTCTCGAAGGGAAATACGCCTAGCCCAGGTACCAAGCCCTTCCGGTATCTTGTGCGTCCACAGACAGCTATCAGCGGCGCTGAGGATGGCAATTCCATCGCACATGCGTCAATTTGACTTGCTCTCCCTCCGGGAGACGACGACAACCATAGCCCAGGCACATATCCAATGTTGCCAACAGGAGCCAATTTGAGCCTACGAACGTTGCTCCCCGTTCCCTCCGGTATGGGCCCTCAATAGCACAGGCGCCCTCATGTCGCACTTCCCCGTTCCCCCACCTCTGTTGCTCCACTGCGACTCCGACATCCGATAGGCGTGCAGCGTTAGCGTTAAGCTTCCTTGCAGATGGCTGACTTCCGGGAGAGCAATGGATCAGAGTCGCAGTTCGGCGCGAACGGCCATAAGACGCGCGTCAGCGTGAGTGGTCCGACTGGCACGGGTGTGATGGACGCACTCGCGCTCGATGCACGGCGGCGCGCTGCGTTGGCTGAGATCGACGAAGCGCGCTTCTCGTATGTGTTTTGTCCTAAGGAGCTTCTGTGCGATTGATTGGATGGTCGGTTCACAGATGGTTTCATGCGAAAGTGTGTCTGGTCGCTGGTATCGGGTTCTTTACCGACGCGTACGTTTCTCGCCCATTCTTCCACGCTCGTACCACTCGACACTTATGATATCCATTATACGCCGAGCAGCTACGATATATTTGCTATCAGCATCGCCTCGATAATGCTAGGCTACGTCTACGGCAAAGGTGTGTACTCTTCCCGTTCCCGAACTCAGTCTGACACAACACACGGTCGCAGATCAAGCTCTCACCAAACACCAAGACCTGGGCGTCAAAGTGGCCACCCCAGTCGGCACATTAGTCGGGCAAGTGGTTTTTGGCTGGCTTGCAGACATTGTTGGCAGAAAGAAAATGTGTATGTCGTAAGCCTCTCTAGTCCGCCTCTATCGATTTAAATTTACGCTTCGTGTGTGAAAAGATGGAGTGGAATTGCTCATCATGGTCGTGTCGACGTTCGCGCAGGCGCTCGTAGGCAATGCAGCTGCTGTGGATATCATAGCTGTGGTCATTGTCTGGCGGTTCATCGTGAGTCTCTGGCATTTCTGCCCGCCGTCTATCTTCATGCTCAAGGACTGTGGATCATGGACAGATGGGAGTCGGAATTGGAGGCGACTACCCTCTGAGCGCGATCATCTCCTCCGAGTTCGCGCCCAAGAAGACACGCGGGCGAATGATGACGGCGGTGTTCGCCTCGCAGGGCTGGGGAAACTTCAGTACGCCCCTCTCCTCTCCTCCATCTCTCCCTCCGTTTCCAACCCCTCCCTTCCCTCTCTTACCCTTCCCTCTACAGCCGCCTCCCTAGTAGCATTCATCATCACCGCCGCGTACCGCGACAGCATCCTCGCCGAGCCCGTGCTCGACCAGCTCAACTCGGTCGACTTCATGTGGCGCCTCCTCATTGGGCTCGGGTGCGTCCCAGGCGTCGTCGGCCTCTACTTCCGGCTGACGATCCCGGAGACGCCGAGGTTTACGATGGACATTGAGAGGAACTTGGAGGCGGCGTGTGGGGATATTCAGGGGGTTGTGGGTGGAGGTGGGAGGAGAGGAGGGAAAGCGGACGGGGATGGAGAGGACAGAGAGAACAGGGAAGAGCAGGTGGGTATTGTGAGGATACAAGCGCCCAAGGCGAGTTGGGGAGATTTTAGGGCGTATTTCGGGAGGAGGGAGAACGCGAAAATTTTGTTTAGTACGGCGTATTCCTGGTTTGCGCTGGATGTACGTCTCTCCTCTTTCCCTCCTCTTTTCTTTTTTCTCTAATATCCATGTCTCATTTGCGATAGATAGCCTTCTACGGCCTGGGACTCAACTCGGCCAACATCCTGCACGCGATAGGGTTCGGCGAGCCCACGAAGGAGGGGGTGCGCGCTGTCTACGACAACCTCAACAACGTGTGCATAGGGAACCTCATCCTCTCTGCGGCTGGCCTCATCCCGGGCTACTGGGTCGCGTTTTTCTTCATCGACTCGTGGGGCAGGAAGCAGATGCAGTTAATGGGCTTCGTGGTATTGACAGGGCTTTTCGTCATTCTAGGTATGATCTTTGCCCTCTCCGATCGCGGTTGAGCGGTAGAAGTTTGACGTCGATCTGCCTTTTCCCCTTTGCGTAGGTTTTGGGTACGACAAGCTGAAAGACACGAAAGCCTTCGTCTTCCTGTATTGCCTCGCCAACTTCTTTCAGAACTTCGGACCCAACGTCACGACATTTGTCATTCCTGGCGAAATCTTCCCGACACGCTACCGCTCGACAGCCCATGGTATTTCGGCGGCGAGTGGCAAGCTCGGGGCGATCGTCGCGCAGGTGGGGTTCAGCCAGCTGAAGGATATCGGGGGAAGGGATCAGTTCGTGGGGCACATGTACGTCGCTTCATCTTGCGGTTGTGTTTGTGGTACGAGAGGGAGCTGATTGGGTGGTTGGGACAGTCTCAAGATATTCGCGTTCTTCATGCTCACGGGCGTATTCTCGACGCTGCTCCTGCCAGAGACGAAGAAGAGGTCGTTGGAGGAGTTGTCGAATGAGAAGCAGGAGGGGTTCGTGAAGGGGCCAGCCGTGCAGAGGGATAATATAGAACTGAAGATTATACCGATTGCTTCGTCGTGTTAAAAGACGGTGTGGGGTATTTTTCTATTTAATGGGCCTCTAGACATGGATAAGTGAGGGTATGGATAGACTAGTTCAATGTATTATATTGGAAGCTTCCTCAGTGTAGACCATGGAATTTATTATTACTCTATAATTGCAATCTATCAGCCCTTCGAATAGGCAGCGTTTATGAATCTCTGTATCATTCTTGCCCTGTACAACCACAGAACTGTATGGGAAATCTACAAGTATTTTGACGAAAATGAGTCAACTAGTGCAGATTTTTTAGAAGCGTTCACGGAGGTTTCGATTTGTCATGCAGAGCAGAGCCGGTTATCATTGTGAGAGCTCGTATGTGCCATCTTCCACATATCCGGTGGAATTATCTCCAGCTTTATTCCAGAAATACTACACCCTCGAATGGAAGTGCGGATGGAGCCCCGAACCTTCCACACGCTCCCATACGCGAAGTGTGGCGCACGAGGTCACGTGTATGTCCTTATTTGGCAACTTGAAGGCTCCACCCTTCCTCCTGTCTTCTTTGAAGTTCTAGGGCTCTGTTCTTGCAAAACTTGTCTGAAAAAGATGCAAAAAAAATGGACACATTGGGAATTGAACCCAACACCTCCCGCAATCAGTATTTGCTAAGCGGGCGTGATAACCAACTACACCATGTGCCCGAATAAAGTGAATGCACAGATGCTCCTGATGGACTTAGAGGACCGTTGACACGTTGGCCAACGGCATCATTCCAAACCTTCATTGCGTGTTCTATTGGTATCGATATGACACGTCTATTCTCATGTTATCGGCGCTGTAAACCCTCGGATCGACAGAACGTGAATGAATTCAGTTGGAGACTGTGGTGCTGTCCTGAATGGAATTGAATATGCCCCTCGCGTTGAACGCCGTTCCCAGTCGTGAAAAGTGTGCATAGTAAAAGGGACTGGAGGCCGGCATTTAATCTCGGGGACGTTCTGTCTTCTGTTCCGCGACAGTTTCTGAACGAGAATCGAGGGCTTCTCGCTGTGGTAGACCAGGTTTTCTCCGCTGGTTATTCTTCACCGGAAAAATATGGCCGACAGCGCCCAAGTGATACACGAACTGAATCGCGGAATTTTGGGGTGCGTTGGACATGGTTGATCACTCGGAACAATCAAAGTGTGGAGGAGGAGTAGAGGATGATGTTGTTCGGTTGCTTCCATATATAGGACTTTGAATTTATTTTGATTGTGGCATTGATTGCGCTTGCTTCTCGTCGCCGTCGTCGTGGTTCGCAGCGACCAACCCTCATTGCCAGCACTGCCCAGGAGTCTGCACCGCGCCACGGTCGATGGCCATAGTTGCAACTCCTGACTGGCACCCACCTACGCGCGAGAACACGATGGACTCACGACAACGCTCTTCCCCTGCCAACGAACACAACCAGCAGCAGCAGCAACAGCAGCAACAACAACAACAGCAGCAGCAGCTCATGCACCAGCAACAGCAGATGCTCCTCGCCCAGCAGCAGCAGGCGGCGGCGGCAGCATACACGTACCAGCAGCAGCCACAGGGGAGCTGGACACCCAACATCGGCGCGCCCCCATTCTACCCCTCCTTCTACCAAAATCACCAGCAGCAGCCATCACCACAGCAGTATCCAGCGGGGGCCCCATTCTTCGACCCTGCCAACGCTAATGCCCTCGCCGCCCAGTGGGCATACCAGCAGATGATGTTCAACGCCCAGCATGGATTCCAGGGTATGCAGCGCCCGAACCAGCCAGCAGCCGCCCAGAACTCCCCGGACTACTTTGCCCAGCCCCAAATCAGCCCCGTATTCAACCCATTTCCCAGCGGAACACCGCCGCCGCACGCCCATCGCAACCAGCAGCAGCAGGACCATCCGCAGCAGCAGCAGTATCCCGGCTTCCACCCCTACAGACGTCCTAATCGCCAGCCATCACAGCAGTCTGACCCCATCAACGACTGGCGCCAGGGCATCACGCCCCCCTACGCGCGTCCGGACGCCTCAGGTTCCTCCTCTTCTGTCAACTCATCTTCCAGCGGTCGCCCCCGCACCAACAGCAACCAGAGCGCACAGAGCTCCAGCAGCCATACAAGTCGCCCAGTGCCCTCGAGAAACTCGCCTTCGCCAGCAGCACCGTCACCAACGTCGGCGGCTGCACCCAGTCCTCTTCGGCAGCCCCATCATCGCAATTCCTCCACGTCTTCGTCCACATCAACCTCAACTGCCACATCGGCGCGGCCCGCGGCGCTATCCCCGGCTCTCCCCACAACGGCCACCTCCACCGCATCGACCTCGGGCACGACATCCTCTTCGGCTGCAGCCGCCAGCAGCAGTGGATCCGCCACCCCCCGCCTCACACGCCCGTCGCCGCTGTCACAGGGCACCTTCACTGCCTCAGAGAAGCGCATGTCACGCGATGACATCGATCTCGGCGCAATGCACGAGTCCACACCCACCGCCAGCATGATCCGCAGTGGCGGCCTCAAAGGCAGGTTGAGGAGAGCCCTCTCGTTCAACACGGCCCAGATTCTCAAGGAGGAGGAGACGGCCGATGAGGACGATGATGTTTCTATCAAGGCATCGCAGGTCAATGGCGCGAGTTCAAGTAAACTCAAGGCTCCTGATCTGAAAGTGGACAGCAAGGCCGTGTCCCCGAGCCCGATGTCGGATAACGACGGTGCTTCAACGACAGCTACTGTGCAAACTACCGCTACAAAGAAAAAAAGCCGTGCCGCCTCACTCTTCAACTCTCGCCTCAACGCCTCGACGGACAATATCTCCCTCTCCTCTACCGTCTCCTCTGCCAGTGTCATGATCCGCAAACTCGGTGCTATGGGTAGGCTTGCAAGGCGAAACTCCCTGGCAGGTATCACCTCGCTCTTCAAGGATAAAGATAAGGAAAAGGACAAGGATGGTACAGAGAAGGACAAGAAGGGGAAGAAGAAGGATAAGAAGAGCGCCAAGGCCGAGGCTAGCGAGGCCAGCGTCTCGCACGTCACTGCAGAGCTCGACAGGATGGGCACCAGCGACTGGAGTGCTGGAGGCTCCGACCTGCACGGTCTCTCACCCGCTGCGAAGCTCGCACGGCAGCATACCCTCAAATCGAATGCCGAAGCAGCCGCACGGGCAAAGGAGGCCGAGGCTGCTGCTGCCGCTGCAGAGGCGAGCGGGAAGCTGGGCACCAATGGGGTCATGGCGAACGGGGCAGCGGGCGTGCCGACGTGGGATAGGAACACGGCGACGCGCCAGGGATCCATGTCACCCGTTAAGGGAGGAGGCGGGATGCGGATCAATGAGGATGGGACGAGGACGTTTATCGAGGACGACGATAGCGAGAGCGACGATGGTCACCACCATCCGCACCAACGGCAGGGCTCGGCGGGCTCTTCGCAACAAGGCTTCCATGACGGCTGGGACGACGATGAGGACTGGGATGCGGACCCGGAAGTGGACGGTGATGAGGATGTGACGATACGCCAGAGTATTGATGCTAGGAGCAGTGGCGAGGACAACAGACCGGAAGGGCCGTTTGGCATGGGCAGGGTGTCGGAGGAGATGGAGCCATGGGCTGTAGATGCTAGAAGGAGTGTAGAGAAGGCAAAGAAACCTGCCAAGGGGATTCTAAAGGGTGCGTCTCTTTTCTATTGAAGGCCTTCCGGTCTTGAACATGTTTCGTTTGTATATGCAGGTGCAGACCACTACGATCAGCATGTCTACCTGCATGAGCATGCGAATCCGACGAATCGTGCTCGGTCAAACTCGTACAATTCACCCGCTCCTCATCCCGAGCTTGGGCCCCTTGCACGGATACCGTCGCCCGATCCAGACCATATCGATGGCCTGCATCGACATGGGTCGTTATCATCTAACCATGGCTCAACATCCCATGTACCTGAGGTTTCTGTGCCGCCATCATTACCACCACTGTCCTTCGATTTTGAATCGTCTTCCTCACCACTTTTGTCGAGTACATTCACGACATCAAAGGACCTACCTGCTACACCAACGGTCCTCACGACATCACCCGCCTCGTCGACTGCTACCAGCTCTGCAGCGACGCCAACATCCACCTCTAGCTCAGGGACGATGCTCGCCACCGCCGCTACCCATGCACACGCCGAGAATCGTACCTCCGCAATCTTCCAACATCCCAATTTCAACTCGTCGGCGCCAGCACTGTCAACAATGGGCTCAACGTCGAATAGTGGGCCACTGTCGCTCGCACACCGCTCAGCGACGGCACCCATCAAGCGCCTGACGTTCGCGACAAATTTATCGGTGTACGACACGTTCTCGGCGTCGGTGTATGATCGACGGAGCGAGCCTGCGACATGGAGTCGCCTGACGCCTGCCCTTGCGCAGCGAATAAAAGAGGAACTAAATTCCTATAAAATGGAGGAGATGGAGGTGCATGCTGCTAGTCGGATCCAGTGCGTTTTTTTTTCTGAGGTGTCGATGTGATTGACTGATTTATCCTTCAAGCACCCAATTCTTCGTTTGAGTGCATGGCACCACATCTGGTTAGGTGCGGACGCTCGCATAGACGACGCTGATAAGATTGGTTGGACTGGACAGGACTGACTTGACTTGACCTTCACCTTGACTTTGCATCAAAGGACTGATGAATATCATCTGACTACCGCTCCTCCTCATACCTCTCAACTCTACACCTGCCAACCTACCTGATGATTTTCCTTATCTCTCCTCTTTTGTCTTTTTTGGATCTCCTCACACATACCTTTACGACCCTCTCTCTTCAACGCAATCTACCCACCACCGACTACCCGACTACTCAACAACGATTACCTAGCCCTGGTTCGGTCGATCTAACGTCGCGGCTTCTCTGTGCCCTGAGCTCACTTCTTTCTTCTCCGTCTTTATCTTCTACTTCTGTCCTTCTCGTCCTCGTTCTTCTTCTCTTCGAATGACGCACGTTACAGTATACCTCTCTTTCCTTTCTTTCGACCTCCTGTCCTGTCCCGTCGAGCTCTGCTTATCGCCGTCGTGCCGTATCCATCCATCTTACCAAAACCTATCATACCCCCTCTTTCCCTCCTGCACCACAATATACGTACGTACCGTCACATTTTGGAATCGAGCATCTACAATCAACAACCCAACCCCCGCAATCGATTTTATTATCCTACATATATACCCGCACAATCCAATCCAATCCAAGATTTCTCTTCTCTCTTTCAAGTTTCAACCTTCCTTGCTTTCTTCTGAAGTGTCTCGTGGCCTATGGGAAACGCCGTCCGATCTCCGACCAGTTGCCTGCTCGCTCGTTGTCAGGTCACCCTGATTGATGTCTTATTCGGCTCGGCTGTCCTCTTATTACAGCCCCGCCTCCAAAGTACCTTCCTCTTTTTTAATCCCTGGCTCGTTTTCGCAATTTTGCCCTGGAATGGACATCACGACCCCTCATGCACATTACAGACCGGACTCACTCTCTCGCTGTTTTATCTCGTACATATGTTGCCCCGACCATCATTGACCACCACTAAAGTTACTGGGCCGTCGACCCGGCTCGTCAATCATCATCACTATACACTACCATCATTACAATTATACGGTTTTCGAACGTACCATCCATTCATTTTACTTAATCATCCTGCAATCCAGACACCAGACAGACACAGTATGTGCCATCGTATCGTTTTTTCAGCTTTGGTGAATATATAATTAATCTATTTTTTTCCTCGAGCAAGCAAGCAAACCGTCTATAGTCTGGGGAATATAGACGACCACTTTCGATTGCTGTCAATAATAATGTCGAAACTTAGACTAAGGGTCTATTCAAGTATCGGCAAACGAATATCGGAGCCCTGGAGCTTTGAAGGCTTAAGATTTCTGATCTTCTTCGAGATATCGTAGCTCCAAACTGAGGAATCACTCCGTCATATCGGTACAACTGACAAACGATGGAGGCCAGTGTTATGAATGACGTCGACTTTATAAAACCTCTTCACCGCGAAGACGCCGTTGAGTCTCAGCAGAGCCTGGCATAGAATTATCTACGGTTTACCTAATATAGCCAAGGTCCTAGTTTTTTTCTGGAGGATTACTTCGAAAGTCACGCGAATCAACCCTGAAAACCTGCTGGGAGTTGCTCGGCGCAACGTAGAGGCGAGCATCGAGCAAAGTTCAAGCAAAATAGAGCCCCACGATGCTCTATGTATGAGGTTCGAATGCTCGAGCCCCGTGCGGAGGAGGGGCAAACGGTTCGTTCTCTACAGCAGCGGGGGATTCGCCACTTCTGTAATCGTCCGGATCACCTCTGACTCAAGCCCATGAATGCTATCGAGCCCGCTGATAAGGATGGGCGACTGCAACCCCTCTGAACATATTCATTTGGTATTAATTCCATTCCTTTGATTGCAGTAACTGACCATCGGCATCAAGATACCAAAGGCTGAAGTGACTATAAGTAGGAGGCAGTTGGGTGACCTTCAGTTTGGTAAACCGCTTGAGTTCGCCACGCCGAAAGAGCCGGAACAGATGACTCTGACATCATGGGTCAAGCCCTTTATTCCACATAGGCCCGAAAGGCAAGAAAAAGTGCACTGTCGCCTGAAGTCGTGTGACCGGGTTTGTTCGGGATCATGACAAGGACACCCTGTGATTGCACCGGAGTCGACGTGACTGGCTAATCATTCACATCACAAAGAAGGTTGAGTCCCCATCTATCGAGTCTCTCTCAAGAGCTGGATAGTTGCATATCACAGTTGTCGGCAGGCGGATCATTAGGGACACGCGACAAGAATAGGAAACAGATGATAAGGGGAGCTATCAGGTTCGAGGCTTCAGACTAGATAACCTCTCGAGAGTTCGATACAAAATGCAAACCACTAGTGCATCTTCGGGCGCTCGATGGCAAGATCGACTCATCCTTGATTCTGAATTTGAAATTGTCTAGACACCACGTTCTATCCCCGGTTCCAAAGGAGGCCCAACTCGTGCGTGTAGATTGGGCGGCATCAAAAAGTATCAGCCTACTATCAGGGCCCTAAAGGCATGAAAGCAATCGTGAGGTGAACTGATGGGCGCAAAAATAGATGCGAAGGCTGTCGAGCTCTAGTTCAATGAATGGGTGTTGCGCGATAGGGATCAACCTCGAGGCGAGCAGGTGTCAGAAGACCAAGTATGGAGTAAACGGCAGACAGAGCTTGTGCAGAACGAAAGAGGCTTGCACGGTGTTGACTATTGAGAGGAAGAGGAATGGAGTTTGCGGGGATGGGGATCGAATTGAAACTCCGCGACGATGGGACATGTGCGGTCCGGTTGCTTCTTCTCTGCAATGCGCCCATTCATTTCGCCATGATGAGGCAAAAGGACAGCTTCATTCACCACCAGAGGCCAGCCATCATAGCTTCTTCATTCTTGGGGATAAGTATCCTTCCGGTACCCACATGATAGCCCTATCAGCAAGAACGTGCTTTCCCATCGGCCAGGCGTTCAATGATATATACCCCCGCTCGTTCTCGGCCTCCACTTGCCACCTCGCACTAGGTTCAACCTGACCAGCCATGACTGACACCAAGGAGCATGGAAGCGACGACTCTGGCTCTACCGAGCAGGTCGCTGTCTTCGAGCGTCCGACGGGCCTCAGAGGCCTATATGCCCATCCAATAACCCAGGTATGTCCGCATTCTTGCTGTGTCTAGTCTCACAACGATGATTTGCAGGTGACCATGCTTGGTTTGGTCTGCTTTATGTGCCCAGGTCTGTCGTTTTTCTATACTCCTTTTTGCCCGAAGTTCACCGTCGAGCAGGCCTTTTCAATGCGTTGAACGGTCTCGGTGGTGGAGGACAAGTAGATACGGCGACGAGTGCAAATTCCAATGCTGCGCTCTACGCGACGTTTGCAGTTTCAGCCTTTTTTGCTGGGTATGTTGTTATCATTATTCGTGGCTATATGCGCTCAGTAATCCTTCCCTCCAAGGTCTATCAACAACAAACTTGGATCGCGTTTGACCCTCCTGCTAGGAAGTACCGGATATGCTCTTTACATTGGTTCTTACCTGTGAGGTAACACTTCTTGCACTAGAATCCTGTCTCACATTATCTAGAGCGATGAACATCCACCCTAACGCCGGAGGATTTGTTATTGCTGCTGGAGCAATCTTGGGCATTTGTGCGGGGCTGCTCTGGACTGCCCAAGGATCTCTGATGCTCTCGTATCCTACCGAGAATCAAAAGGGAAGATTCATCAGTATATTCTGGACAATTTTCAACTTGGGAGGCGTCGTTGGAGCTTCCGTCTCGCTTGGCTTGAACTTCAATTCCACGGTAAGCTAGTCCTGTTCATCGAAATTCGCTTTCTGCTCACTCGTCTAGGCAAACTCCGGTAGGAACTTGTGGCACTTGCTGGTTGGCGTTTACTAATGTCCTTGTGCTTGCGCGTTCAGTCGGAAACGGAACCTACGTATGCTTTCTCTTTCCTCTGCAAATTCAAAGGCTCAAAGCAACTCCAGATTGCTTTCCTCGTCCTTACCATGAGCGGCGTGCTTATTCCGATGTTCATGGTCGATCCCCATAAGATGATTCGTACGGATGGTACCAAGGTTTCCTCGCCTCGTCATCCATCCTGGAAGGTCGAGATCTATGGTCTGTGGGTCGCAGTCCGGGATGACCCGCTCATCATCATGCTCTTCCCAATGTTCTTTGCGTCGAACTGGTTCTACACCTGGCGTGCGTCCTGAACCGTTATCGCCTTGATACTAAACGTTCAACGTGTTTTTTTTTTTAGAGTTCAACAACTATAACAACGCCTTGTTCAACATCCAAGCCCGTTCGCTGAACAATTTAGTGTATTGGATCGCCCAGATCATCGGCTCGCTTCTCATCGGCTTCCTCCTCGACCAGAAGAAAATCAACCGTCGAATCCGTGCTTTCAGTGGGTGGGGCGTGCTGTTCGCCATGGTTTGGGTAGTACATATTTGGGCTTACTTCTATCAGAGGTCAGTTTCTGTTGCTACCCTACCGCTAGCTCGCGGAGTTCATCTTCGTTGCGTTCGTCAGGGACTACACTCGCGAATCGATCCCGCCCGAAGCGACGAAAATGGGCATTTATGACGATGGCTATGTCCCTCGAATTTGGTTATACTTCTTCTGTGGCGTCTTGGACGCGATGTGGCAGGTTACTTCGTACTGGATCATGGGTGCCATGTCGAATGACCCTGCCAAATTGGCCCACTTCACGGGATTGTGTATGTCACTTTTTCCGATCTAGACATTGTGAGATGCTGATAGGTTTGCTGAATTCGCAGATAAATCTATCCAATCCGCGGGTGCTGCAGGCATCTGGCGAGGAGATGCTGTTAAGATCCCGTGAGTAGTGGCATTGAAATATATTTCTCTGACTGGATGAACTTACTGCTTGTAGGTTTATGAACATTTTCATCTCGACATGGGTCCTGCTCGTTGTTGGCCTGGTGTTCGCCCTTCCTATGCTTTATATCCGTGTTAAGGAGACAACCGATATCGCTGATGAGACCTTGTACGTTGCTGTGCTATTCTCTTGTAGGTGTCCGCTGACTCTACCACTTTCAGGGCTCGCATGGATGATTCGGGTCAGATTCACTCCGCCCATGAGGTGCAGCCGACGTCGGAAAAGTCGTAATTCCTCATCCCCGGTGTGTTCCTTGCCCTTAGCTATTTTCGTGTTTCTCTTTATGCTCTGTATCTTGCCAATGAACTTGCTGAGAATTCGCGACTGAACGCTAACGTTCCTAGTGAGAAACGCGTCTCGTGGCATCGAGCGGGGTTGGGTGGTTTGATGTTACTCGATTACGCTGGATTGCACTCGAGAAATGGTTTCAACTAAATGTTTTTCGCAGGTAAAAGTGAGTGATTGCGTGCAGCCTCGGGTGCCAGGTTATGCCAAGTCTCGGCGCAGTGCACTGGGTGCTGCTCGACATTCGGTTGGGTGGATGGAGGTGCAGTTTCATTAGATTTCATACAATACACTGTATTACTGTAATCTTACGGGCATTCTGCACAGGTGCAACCCAAATCTTGCAGACATCCTCAAGCTCGCGGCGGCGGCGGCGGCAGCAGCAGCGATGGCACAAAGGATGGTGTGACCCACATGCCTTTGCAGTGCCTCGTCCAGATGATCAACGGAATGGTGGGAGGAGCCTAGACGGGCACGTACATGGCAACATTCATGGCGCCCGGCGCCCACCTGAAATATTCATCGCAAGCAGGCGACGATGTGGCGAGATAAACCGTTCGGCGACTGCAAAGGACCCTACTCACGTCCAGCTGAGAGTTCGCGTCGTGTGCTAGCTAGGACAAATTGGAGACGTAAAAGGTCATCCGGGTCGCGTAGGGTGGAAGAGGATGAGCGAGGCAAGTCGAGATCAAGCTGGGGAGGAGGGGCGGAGACGACAAAGAGGAAGAGTTGGAGTGCAAAGATAAGAGGCGGAAACGTCGGCCAGAGCGAACAAGAGGGCAGGCATGACAAGCAGGGAGAGTTGGGGCTGGAAATGTTGTTCGGATCGCGTTGGGTACGAGTACCAGCGTTTGATCGAGGATGTCCATTCTTTTGAAAAGCCCTGAGAATCGTCGAGCCCGCTATTTCTGTAACTCCCCCGAACGGAGACGACGAGCTGGATGTGTGAAGGGTAGAGACAACGTCAAGCGCAACTACGTACTCACACTGTGCTGTGTCGTTTTTGGACCATCCCGTCACGAAGATCCTTTCATACGTTGGCTCGGAGCTTGGAGGCGCCATACAGCTTGCTGGCGTGCTCAGGCACCTCGAGATACTTGGCCGTGGATTGCGTATCTGGGCGTGCACACTGGAATGCAATCGATTCCCCTCGAGAACACGTCGCTCGATCCTGGATCACCTAAAAGTCGCAATTCCGTTGCCCCAGTGTTTTCCTTGTCTTTAGCTAGCTTCACTTTTTTTGGTGCTTTGTATCTTGTGAATGAATTTACTGCGAACCTTGAAAATACAGCCCAGCCTTGTTAGAGAGGTTCACAGAAAGAATGAGTCCAAAAATCCTTTTCGGTACACCTGGCCGTTTCCCTCAATAATCAATAATCCCCACCCGCGATCCAACGGCTATGTCTGGCGGCGGAAATAGCAGAGAAGGCGCCTACAGGCGGAGCGGACACGATAGGAAGGCCGACCCGGCTGAGGCTGGTAGTGACATGGGGAGTGGTGATACACGGACGTGTGGAAACTTCGCGCTGACGGTACGAGGGAAGTGGAGAATCGCCAGGACCAGAGGGATGACGGGGATAGAGAAGAGCGTGCCGTTACTCTCTTGCTTTCGCCTGTACCTCCTGTCTTCGAGCAACCAGCACCGCGCCTTCCCTCCTCTCCTGCTACCTAAGACGATCGACCTCTCGTGTTGGCCCACAGTCGACACGGTACGCGTGTATAGAACACACCGGCGAGAAAAACCCCGACGACACAGACTTGTGCTCCTGATGCATCGTGCCTCGGATGTGTCCAGCGGGCGGGGGTGTTGGTACAGATTGATACAGATGGCGAGCGCAAAGGGTTTGGCGGAGACGCGCCGAGGGCCAGCCTGGGTTGGTGAGCGCGATGTGTGGGTTGCAACTCCTCTCCGTTGCTGTCCTCTTTCCCATTCTCCTCTCTGTCCCGATCCTCTCAAGCGGCACTCGCCGCTTTCCTCTGCTTTGTCCTAGGCGATTGAGGTGGTAACGCAACCAGGAGAACAACAACACGGAGGAGACGCGTCGCAGTACACGACAGATTGGACGCTCCGAAGAGCGTCAATTCTCCAGCGTGCGCTACCAGCGTTCCTGCACCATCGTGTCCCACCGTTCTAGCAGCCGATGTCGAGTGTTTTGGCCCGATGCAGATGGGCAAGTGCAGGGCGGGTTGATTATATGCTTCAGCTCGCCACAGAAACCACAACGGGGCGCGGGGGCCAGTGCGCAGTGGAGGGGGTTGGTCGTTCGAGCGGCCAGCACAATGGGCGGGAAGGCTCCCATAGGCCAAGAGGAGGCCGAGGAGAGAGAGGCGGCGGGTGCAACAGGGGGAAGGCGAGCGAATTCATTCAAGCTCGTAGCGGGAGGGGCCAGGTGGGGTTCACGCGACGGGTCCGCCAACGGACGCAACGGGCAACGCGGTGATTGGTGTGGTTATGGTTGTTGAAGTGCGCAGGCAGGGCAGAGTGAGGGGGTGAAGGTGAGATGAGGAGGAGGGGGAACAAGGTGGCTCTGCGACTCGCGAGTGATCTCTTTATCTTATCTTATCCCCCGGGATCATGAACTAAACGTTGACAATGCAACTTTCTTCGTTTCCAACCACTTCCAACAGTCAATCCTCCCGGAATGGCTGATATCACTGTCGACACTGCATCCCGCTCCAATCCTTACGAAATCGCGACTGAACACGTCACGTTTGATTGGACGGCTGACTTCGACGCGAAGGTCATCCGCGGTTCCGCCCTACACGACTTGAAAGTCAAGAAAGACGGTGTCAAGGAAATCATGTATCTATCCTATTTGTCTATTCGTCCGTCTCTCGATGCTCATTCAAAGCATCCAGCTTCGACACAGCAGATCTTTACATCAGCTCTATTCTGTTGGATGGAAAGCCCACTCAGGTTTTAACTTTGCAACTCTCAGACCGTTTTTTTCGTTGAACATCACGGCATTCTAGTATGAACTCAAGCCAAAGGATCCTGTTACGGGTTCGGCTTTGCACATCCCTCTGCCCGCTGGTCTGAAGGAAGGGGAATCGGTCAAAGTGAAGGTTGAATATAAGACGACAGAGGAGGGCACTGCACTTCAGTGGTTGGACAAAGAGTACGCCAAACTGCGTGCATATACGTCCTTGGAATCACTCATCTTTCTTCTAGGCAGACACAGGGCAAGAAGTTCCCGTACTTGTTCAGCCAGTGCCAGCCAATCTATGCGCGTGCTCTTGCTCCCGTTCAAGGTGCGCGTGTTACGATACGGTCTTCTGGCGGCTGAACGTCGAACTTGCTTTCCTTCTAGATACTCCTTCCAATAAAATCGTACGCGAATCCTGGCGTTGACGGTTGTATATGAGATAACGGTTCCATCATTCAGAAATATTCTGCTAAAGTGACCTCCGTCCTTCCCGTTCTCTTATCAGCCCGACGAGTCTCGCCTCCTGCCGACGGTCCTGCACATGATGGAAAAGTTATCGGAGAAGACGTTGTGACCTACACGTACGATCAGGTTCGCGTCGCTTCCTCTATCTGCGATGCATCTGAAATGTCTTACTCAAAATGTGTCTTGCCAGCCTGTCCCAATTCCCTCGTACCTTATCGCCATCGCAGCTGGCAATGTATGCTATCGGCCTTTCTCGAAACCCAAGGATAAGCAGTGGACGAGCGGGATATGGGCAGAGCCGGAGCTCATTGAAGCTTCGTACTGGGAATTCTCTGAAGATACTACTAGGTAAATTTGCTCATCATGTCATCTGATTTTCTGACAGTCCATATGTGCAGATTCCTGGCAGCAGAGGAGGCTATCGTGACGAACTACAAGTTCGGTGTTTATGATCTTCTCGTCCTGCCGCCCTCGTTCCCCTACGGTGGGATGGTAGGTTCCTATATTGTTTTGATACACTGTTCTGATGTCTAACCAGGAAAACGCTTGCATCTCTTTTTTGACTCCTAGTGAGTGGACCGTTCAATGTCGCAGACTTCTCCAAATAACCTTGACAAGCATTGCTCGCGGGTGATCGAACTCTCGTTGATGTCGTCGTCCACGAATTGACGCATTCTTGGTTCGGTAACGGAGTAACGTAGATCGATCACTTGTCTTCACGTTCTACCTCCTGACAAGCCGTGTAGCCACGCAAACCCTTCTCACTTCTGGCTCAATGAGGGCTGGACAACATATATCGAGCGGGTTCTTCAACAGGTTCTCCACTCGCCTGCTGAACGGGGTTTCTCCTTTGTCATCGGATCCAAGGCTCTTTACGACTCTCTGAAGCAATACGAAGATCGACCCAAATACCAGAGGCTGGTCATCCGTTTCGAGGAGGGTGAAGACCCAGATGATGCATATTCGAGCATCCCTTATGAGAAGGGTGCTAACTTCCTCCTGCATCTTGGTAAGAAAGCTATTATCACTGCAGAAGGATGAATATTCGCTAACGCTGGTTTGGTTTCCAGAGAGAACTCTGGGAGGCCTCGATGTCTTTCTTCCGTACGTCAAGGACTATGTGGAAACTTTCATGGGCAAGAGTATAACAACTGCAGAATGGAAAAATCATCTTTACGGCTACTGGACGAAGCATGGCGGCCCCGATAAGATCAAGGCACTCGATAGCGTTGCTTGGGATGCATGGCTTTATGGTGAAGGTATTGAGCTGCCAGTCAAAATGGAGTACGACATTAGGCTAGCCGAGAAAGCATATGATCTTGCCCTGAGGTGGGATGGTGCTCGTACACTCGATGCTTCGCACCTCAATTTCAAAGAAACGGACCTTGAGGGCTTCAACTCAAACCAAATTGGTCAGTTTTCCACATGTTATCTAATTGTCTGGCCATCATCTGACGGCAATACATTACAGTTGTCTTCCTTGAGAAGCTTCAATCTTACCCTCCTCTTCCTTCCAACCTAGTCCTCCATCTCGGAAAGCTCTACAAACTCGCAAACTCACCAAATGCTGAAATCCGTCTCCGGTATTATGAGGTTGCTCTCACTGATTCATCTTCAGCTGCTGCCAAACAGCTCGCTGTGGAGGCGGTGAAGTGGGTCACAGGGGATGATGGGACAGGTGTAGTTAAAGGGCGCATGAAGTTCTGCAGACCGGTTTTGCGAGCAGTCTCAAAGGTGGATGGAAAACTTGCAAGGAGTTATTGGGAAAGAGCAAAGGCTGGATTCCACCCAATTGCACAGAAGCTCATTGAGAAGGTATGCATCTTCAGAAGCAGATATGCAACTGCTCATCTAATAATTCAATTAGGACATTAGCATTGCCCTAGGAAAGTAGTGCTGAGGATCAGGAATGCACTGTCACACATGTAGAATATGGCTGGTCAATTCATCTCAATACTGGTGTTAGTTGCTGGAAATCCCTAAAATAATTAAAAATTTAATCAGAAATTGGAAAAGGAAGGAAGAGCAGCAAGCTAACTGCCAACCTTCTATACTGATGTTCCCTCTCCTTGCACCCATGGTGACACTGGTTTTCCTGAATTTCCTTGAATTTTATCAGAAAAGGAACATGAACTACAGAATCAAGGCTAGCTTGTTTGATTCTCACTTAATGAGGCTGATGGAACCAGTTGTCCAGGGTCAATAACTTTTTTTTTTTTTGATCAACAATTTATATAGCAGTGCTCAATGGCAGCCCACTTGCTATCTACAAACACTTATGCTGTTACGCTGCACAACCTAGTTACTAAGTTAAATACTAAAAGACAACTGCCCCCTCAAATGCAGGCCTTGAGGCTCTGTTGAGAGAGACAAGGCATAGCTCCCATTCTCTGATGCCACATACATTGGGCGCATTTCCTTTTCTTCTCTCTCTTGGTGATACCTTGGCATGGCCGTCCTCATAGACATCACCTGCCTTGCCTACTTCTGCCCACAGACCATCCCCTATCCATTTTCCTATTCCTACTTATACCCTACTCAATGACTCTGCCACCTCAGTCGTTCACTGTGTGCAATGTCTGAGGTGAGCTATATATTCATATAGTCTATTATTACACATACTAACTACCCTATCATAGCTTACTATGTTCACTCTTCAGGTAGTTACTAATAACAGTCGTTCACTGTGTGCAACATCTGAGCTTACTATGTTCACTCTTCAGGCTCAAACACAAACTCCTACAAAGCCAGACCCACAAAAGTGGTGATGCGGGATAAGGGAAGGGACCATTGAGGCCTTGCTAAACCCTAGAGTCATCAGGTGCTGTTTGAGAGCCATGCAACATAAATGTATAACAGCCCACCATGGACAAAAATAGGGCCTACCATGTAAATAGCATCTCCACCAATGAATATGTTGCCTGAAAGTCCCAGAAAGTCAATATTTGTTGACTTTTGTTGACTTTTATTGACTTTTGTCAACATTCTTCAATGTTCTTCAACTTTCATCAATATTCCTCAACTTTTGTCAAAGAATTCTCCTGATCATCAACGTTTGTCACAGATCACAGTTGTACTGTATGATAAGAATCTTCAACTTTCTGTTACTATTTTCATTGTGAGCCTCTCATGCATTCTTTGACATTCTGCCAGAATCTTCAAGAATCCATGCATTTTTTTCAAGACTGTATTGGACCCCAGGACTTCATGAGGGGCTCAGCATATTCAAGGCTTTGGGACCCATGTGGTTCCTCAGGATGACCTCTTAGGCTGTTGCATAGGGCAATGCAAGCCGACCCAGCAATTGGTGCCTGTGGGAATCCCAAGCCTGGTCGTTTCCTGGTGCCTTTCACATCTGGCACCCACCTCATCCATGCAAATTTGCTGCATTTATTTAGACCCTATATTGATTTAATTTCTTCCTTCTAATTTTCATAAAATCACTATGCCTGCTGAAAAGCTGCAAGGTCTGCATAAACACAATCACAGAAAATATAGCAGCAATCCCAATGTGATGATACATGATTGGCAGGAAAACATGTTTATTCCATTTAACTTGTACAGTCATCCACCAGCCAATGATACATCTTGGAACACCATGAAGGACTTGACTGTTTGCTTTCAAAAAATAACCACATCCTCTATAGGCCTTTCATGTGCTGTGTGTAAAATTTTGTTGGGTTTGGAGAACTCAATGCCTGGCAATAAAATCATCAAAATATTCATTTTGGTTAATTTTGTAACACCACTCACTGGTACAGCCTCTCTGGCTGTCTTTGTTCACACTTGCTAGATATTATGGCATATAATTGGTATATAATTATTTTAATAGCTTTACTACACTTGTTTCAAGTGGTTTACGAGAATCCATGAGCTGCTTGAGTTCTGGGATCAATTTAAATTTCAGTGTATCAAATGATGGTGGATGACTGTACAGGCAATAATAGACTTATATGACAGGCAAATAGAAGAGGGGCAAGAAAAAGCAATGTGGAAATTGGAGATAAACAGTGGTCAAGCCAGACTGACATCAACAGAACATTGTAGGCCACATGTTGTTGAGCACAGCCTCAGCTCCAAGCCTAGCCTTGACTCCTAAATATAGAACGCACAGCTGAAGTGCTTCTATTCCAGTGAGCTGACATCACATGACATCATACTGACTTATTGTTCCTCACTGAAGGCACAGCCTTTTATTGCACACAGATCACCTCCTCAGGTATATAAACCTGTGTCATAGGTAGTCTTAATCCAAGTGGTTTACAATCCTTTCTACATAGTCATTAGATAGCTGCTAAGTTACTCACTACACCCAGGTAGGTCTACCAACTAGTAGCTTCCATTCTCAACAGGTTATGGGCCCCAGCAACACTGTTTATCGCTTCCCCTAGCGATTTGTCATATGCTGGTTGGTAAAGTCCACATCCACTGTTGGCATTGATGTTGGTGATATGGGCAGCTGATTCAGCCATCATACCTCAATGGAGGACCTTGGCTTTCATACTTCAGACACAGCATCACTGAGTTCGCTTGCATTTGCCAGTGTATAACTGGCCACGCACCCATTGGAGCATATTACCGTCACTTCAAGATCAACGAGCCACATGGCTGCACTTGCAGGGCTGCTTTGCAGTCTTGCCAGCACATTCTCTTTCACTGTCGCGATAGATATTCTGTACACTATCCCTGTTTTCTCAGGGATATTGCATCATTTTTGAAGCACAACCCTATGGTGTTTGGCTTCAACCGAGACCCCTCGGGTGTTGGATAACTGTTGCGGGCGGGGTTATTACCCTTGATTCAGAGACCTGCACCCACGACAATTCTTTCACGCTTGCAGCCCACTATAATAGCGGGTTGCGGTGCTGCTAACTTTCTGTGTCTGGTTTCGGGCAGGCGTACCCTTGGCTTGTCAGCCTCAAGACACCCCGCCACCTCCCAGGTGGTGCTGTTCTTATTTTCATTGTGCTGTGTGGCCCCCGAACAGTGTTCAACAACTTTGGGGTTTAGTGGGGCCTCAATGGTTCCCTCCTCTTATCCCTTGTCACCGTTTTCGCAAGGTGGGTTGCCCTCTGGGAAGTTTTGACATGTACACCAGAAGGGCCTTGGTTGGGGGGGCAGACATCTTTTAGTAGTTAACCTAGTACCCAGGTCGCGTAGCATATATGTTCTGTAGATAGTGAGCGGGCTGCCATTGAGCACCGCTATATAAATTGTTGATCAAAAAAAAAAAAAAAAAAAATTGATGTTGGTGATGAGCATGATATAAGGGCTCTGCCTGATATCAGTGCACTTGCCTTGGGATAACACTTTGACCTCATGTTGTTGTAGGCTCTACGCTCATTGTTGAACCTGAGTGTTATCTTGCTTGTTCTATATGCTGCCATGCTCATTGGGGTCGGTTGGGGATCCCTCTGCCCCTTCTGTGCTCTCCACCCACCCCCATCTGCCCCTCCTCTGCTTGTTTGGGGCTCTTTGTCACTTGTTGGGACCCTTTGGGTGCTCATTTGCCCTCTCCGGGGGGCTCTTGGGTGCTCATTTGCACCCTCCACTGGTCGTTTGGCCTCTCCACTGGTTGTTTGCTGGTTGGAGGGTCCTCTTGAGGGGGGGAAGGGGCGAGTGGTGGGGTGTGAGTGGTGGAGGGGGAAGGGCAAAGGGTGAGGGGCGAGGGCAGAGGCAGAGGCAGAAGGCGAGGGTGAGGGCAGAGGGCGAAATGGCAAGGCAGAGGATGGAGGAGCGAACGAGGGGCAAGGGCGAGGGTGGAGGGTGCCCCACCATTGTTGTCGTGTCTCTGCCATCGTCGACACCGTCCTGCCCACCATTGTCATCCATTGCCTGCTGTTGTTGTTTATTGTCCACTATCATTGTTTGTTGTCTGCTGTCATTGTTTGTTGTCCACTGTTGTTATTTATTGTCCACTGTCATCGTTCGTTGCCCACTGTCATCATTCATTGCCTGCTGTCGTGTGCCCGCTGTCGCCATCCTCTGCCCGCTGTCGCCACCCTTGACCTGCAGCCATGTCAGCTATAATTCTGTATCAAACACTGGGTTTAACCAGTGTGAACTCATAGATCAGGACTGGGATTAAGCAGTCAGGGTCTCCAAGGCTGCTGGGGTGAGTTTGCTGGAGATGCTGGGCTATAGAGATTTGTTTTGGGGCGGGAGGGGGTAAATAAATGACCAAACAACCCTCCCAGGGGGTGGGAGGGGTGGGAAAGGGGTGGGAAATCCGTCTGAAACAGGCAGGGGTGGTAGGGGATGCATGATAGGGGCTAGTGGGATGGCAGGGTGGGTTCTGGGTGCGGTGGGGGCCTAAAAATGGGTTGGGCAGGGCTAGATATGCATGCTAATAATTGTCATGGCCCCCACGGGGTGCGGGATGGGCTGGGA